TGTGGAACGAATCATGTATACAAACAGAATTGCATAGAATCTTATAAATGACGTTTTTATGTAACTACTCTACATGTGTATGGATGCCATAAAACTAACGAATTATTCGCTAACCATACCAGCAGCGTGTGCCCAGTCTAATAACGTTTCAACTTCTTTTCCTTCAGCGCTTAAACAATCCCCGGATGTAGCTCGAGCGTCGAGCCCAACCAAATAATAATTGGTTTTAACCCCGCTCATCATAGCTGTGGCGGTCCCTGCCGAGTCAGCCGTTTGTCTGTCCACATTATATGTCTAAATAAATAACAAAACATCTATATTATGAAAAAATAATATGAGGAATAAGCGTATAATGGTACTAAATGGGAAAAATAGAACCATTCCGTAGCAATAACAAGAATGGAAATGACAAGTTTGTTAATTCGTCCAAAAAGGGTTCGTCTTAAATAAACTCGACTAAAACAAAATCACGTACCAAGCAAATCTATTCATAAAATTGTCATGAAAATTGAAAATTACACTTTGCAAGAAAAATATCTCTTGTCAAGTTGACTGTAACAGAGTGTATACTTAAATAAAGAAACTTATTACGATTCAAAAGTTTTTGAAATTTTATCATTAAAACGTCTTCTAAACCGGTATAGTTACGTTGTAATAAAAAAGAAATATGTACGAAAGACCGGTAGGACCATTTCAACTTCATGAATTCCCGATTTCATCTTCATGAATTCTCGATTTCAACTTCAAGAATTCCCGTTTTCAAAATACGGAATTCAAGAATTCACGATTCAGCTTCACGAATTCACGACTTCAACTTCATGAATTCACGATTTCAACTTCACGAATTCACGATTTCAACTTCATGAATTCACGATTTCAACTTCACGAATTCAACTTCGTGAATTCACGATTTCAACTTCACGAATTCACGATTTCAACTTCACGAATTCACGATTTCAACTTCACGAATTCACGATTTCAACTTCACGAATTCACGATTTCAACTTCATGAATTCACGATTTCAACTTCACGAATTCAACTTCGTGAATTCACGATTTCAACTTCACGAATTCACGATTTCAACTTCACGAATTCACGATTTCAACTTCATGAATTCACGATTTCAACTTCACGAATTCAACTTCGTGAATTCACGATTTCAACTTCACGAATTCACGATTTCAACTTCACGAATTCACGATTTCAACTTCATGAAGTTGAAATCGTGAATTCGTGAAGTTGAAATCGTGAATTCGTGAAGTTGAAATCGTGAATTCATGAAGTTGAAATCGTGAATTCTTGAAGTTGAAATCGAGAATTCATGAAGCTGAAATCGGGAATTCATGAAGTTGAAATGTCCCTACCGGTCTTTCGTAAATATGGGCTTAAAACATGTGTTGCTAGTATTAGCAAAGATCGCTAACAGGTATAAAATTTTGACATGTTTGTTTATTTTATATCATGATAAAAATTATACCTGTCATTTTGTAAACCCTTAGTCAGCAAAAAATCGTAAATAGGCTTACTGCCTAGATACATAAAAAAGTAAAGTGTCCTAAGTGAAATATAAAAAGGCAACAAGTACATTTTGCTTCTGAAAAAAATACATAAACTCATAAATGAAAACAAATAAAAAAAGATCCGAGTGCTTAAAGTAATAGACACATGGCCTACTAGTATGGTGGCTGATTTGTGCCATTCGTGTTTTCGCCCCGAAACCCTGTCAAGCGAAAAGTCGAGAATTGACAAGATAAAATGGCGGGGTCGCGGAGCGAAAACACGCTTGTTAGCGGGGGCGCGGGGCGAAATTTAATAAATTAAACTTCGCCCCGCAAGGGCGATGAGAGAGATTTAAGAAATAACAAGGCGGGGCGCTCCCGCTAATTAGCGTGTTTTCGCTCCGCAACCCCGCCGTTTTATTTTTTAATTCTCGCTCAGCGCCCCTGCGGGGCGACGTGTTATTTATTAAACTTCGCCTCGAGCCCTCGCTTATCAGCGTGTTTTCGCTCCGTGCCCCCCGTCATTTGTATTTGTTCAATCTCGACTTTTCGGGGTCGAGGAACAAAAACACGCTAATTAGCGGGGGATGGGAGGCGAAGTATTATTTATTTAACTTCGCCCCGCGCTCCCGCTAATTAGCGTGTTTTAGCTCCGCGTCCCCGCTGTTTTATTCCTTAAATCTCGCTCAGCGCCCTTGCGGGGCGAAATTAATTCATCAAAATTTTCCCCGCGCCGCCGCTAATTAACGTGTTTTCGCTCCGCATCCCGCCATTTTAACTTGTTTATTGTCGCTTGGCGGGGTCGCGGGATGAAAACACGAATGGCACAAATCAGCCACCATATACTAGTCTACATATCATTTTTTTCTCTTAAATGTAAATTTTTTACTGAATTCATAAAGAAATAAACATAATTCTGAAGTTCAAAATTGAATGGATACTTATTTTGATATGCTGTTTTCAGTGAAGTATGCAATATACCGATACATAACGTATGCATTTTATGCATTTTCTTAATGAATATCGCCACCTAACACATTTAAAATTTGAATAGAATTATGTATACGACAAAGAAAGCGTTTTTAAGAGCAGATCTGATCAAATTTAGAAAGAAGCTTATAGACCGGTTAAGGTATGAGCCCCATAATAGGCACTATAAGGAACTATAAAATTGACAACATAGGTCAGTTATATGCCTTAAAAGACACAAGAATGCAAAACTTAAACAAAGTTTACCGTATGGTTTACGAGTTAAGGAGATTTTTCTAAAGAAAAACTTGGCTATTAGAAAGGTTCTTTTTCAGAAATTGGAAACTCTAATTATTCTATTATATAATCATTATGAACTAATGTTTTCCTATAGAATTTTTTTAAGAAACAAATAATAGCATTCAGCTAACAAATGACCCAGCAAAATTATTGTTTCTACTCAAAATGTTTGAAATATGTATATAAATGTTACCCTACCCCACCCATTTTAAGAAGTTGTTAGTTCATTTTTCTACTTGGAGGGCCTTATTCAAAATATCCCTAAAATTTACTCAAATCAGGGGCTGTTTTCAAAGTTTGCATAAATTTTCCTAAAGGTATATTGGTTGCGCTTGTCAAATATAAAATACTTTTACCGTCTAGTTTTTATTTTATTAGACTTTAAAATTACAAGGTACCATTTTTGATAATAAATTTGACACAATTTAGCCAATAAATACCAATAATAATTTTATAATTGAGATAAAACACTTTTTTCTTATCAAGAGTGGTCTGAGAGACACAAATAATGTTCAAAAAAAAAAAAAGAAAAGAAAAAAAAAGTTGCCTCTTCCGGGGCTTGAACCCGCGCCCCTCAGTTTCAATGCAGTTGACAGTAGTTCTAGCCTATTTGAGTACTCTTCAAAGTAGAGGTAATGCATTATGTGGGTCATACCTTAAATGGGTAAAAGTAGGGTATCTTCATTTTGGGAGTTAAGGAATGTAAATAAATGCATTTTGAAAATGTATTAAAAAATGAATCTTGTAAGTTGAATAGAACTAACATTTGACATATCTGTAATTTAATACATGTATCTTGTTAAATTCAGTAAAGAAGAATATCAACCTTTAGGAAAACTGCACGAAACATTTTTATTATTAATGTTTCCTAAACCTTTGTGTTTGAAAAAATTTGACAAAGCTATGTGTGCGATTAACTTAAAGAAACAAAACACTTGATAAAAGTGAGCCATTCCTGTATGTATCATTATTAAGGTAAAGTATCAATAAAGTATGAAAGCCATTCGTAAACAATCGGCATACATCGTTACTTTCCGTGATAAGTGTCAAAGTGAAAACCTTCACGGTAATACGGAAAATAACGACTGTTGTCGGAATTATACGAACTGTAATACGATAGGATTATTTTATCTTAACTAGATTTAATAGTGCTTGAAATGATTTTTTGCCCGATAGAATTGCAGTATTTCATATGAATCACTATAGCACATTTACTATGCTAACTTGCATGACTAAATTTATCGGTCCAGTAAACGGACAGTTTTAATAAAAAAATCATACATTAAATTGCTTAGTGTTTATTTGTAAGCATTAAATCTGCGCCGTTCTTGACCAATGCGCCGCGCCTGACGAATTTAATTTTGTAAATACGTACTTATAAACATTAATCTATACATAAATACATTTATATATAAAAAAAATAGTGCCAAACGTTCTGGCCAGCAGACGATGGCGCATTTACCGAAACTTGTCGGCATTTTTCATACCGCTAAAGCCGGTGCTAGGGGGCGTGAGGGATGTTGCACTTTTCCGTTATCTGTCAAACTGAATCTAATAACCGAGTTTACAATTTTTCATGCGATTTTGCTTTTTCCATTGCTTCCGAAGAGGAAGTGTAACCAAAATTACCTTAGACAACGCAACGTTCGGGAATTCTTCAAAAGCCAGAACGCTTTCCTCGCCAGGTCGGTTGTTGAGTTGACCTCGCAAAATTCTAGCTGCCGTCACAGTTGTTGGTCCCATTCCGTCCCCGATGAACAAAATCAAATTTTTGGCTACCTTGTGGTTTTCTATTTGCTTTTTACGTTTCTGTATTACTTCTTTTGCCAGATTATTCCAAAAGCTAGGATCTGTAACATTTTAATAGATGCAGACGATAACTTAAGTGATGTGACACTCTTTTATTTTTACTCAGACCAATGCTTTGTACATCGGGACACAATAGAGAGATAATGTTCGTTTTAAAAAGTGTACTTATAATTTCTGGCTAAAAACTTTCAAACTTTTCAGTGGATATGACGTCTTTATAAATGTGACGTTAGAATATTTATTTAAAAAACATACGTCATAAAATGAATTACTGTGCCAATGGTATACAGTTATATCGAATTTAAAAACTTATCATTTGTTTTTATTTCTGTTTATTCCTTAGTAATTCTTTTTTTATTATTCAAAGAAGGGGGGTCAACAAGAAATATCACGTGATCACAAATGCAGACAAACACAGTGACCTTCACCCCTGACAGCGGAAGAAACTTGTCGTGATTTTTTGTTGTATTTCAGTAATTATGAGCGAACCGCGGTATTTATTTGTTAAATATTTTGTTGTTTTTGAGCACATTCTAAATAAATTCCGAGAAGGAAAGTACATTGTAAAAGGAACTCGTTAAATTGTGGAAATCAATGCTGAAGTTCAATTCATGCTTATTTGCACATTTACTCACTATTTTTCCATCATTTGAAAATATGTATATGTAACATGAGAATTTTTAAATAAAAGAACAAACTATGAATAGAAGCGAACGTGCACACTTTTGCTTGATTATGGCAAATGTACGGACTTATCCGTTCGAATTTGTGCCATTCACCGTTTAACACTATAATTGACTCTTGTTGTTATTGTTTTTTCTATCAAAGGTGTGCACTTTAGCCATATTCTATCAAAAGCGTGCACGTTCGCAATGTTCAATCAAAAGTGTGCATGTTCGCCATATTCAATCAAAGTGTGCATGTCCGCCGTATTCTATCAAAAGTGTACACGTTCGCCATATTCTATCAAAGGTGTGCACGTTCGCCATATTCAATCAAAAGTGTGCATGTTCGCCATATTCTATCAAAAGTGTACACGTTCGCTATATTCTATCAAAAGTGTGCACGTTCGCCATATTCTATCAAAAGTATGCACATTCGCCATATTCAATCAAAAATGTGCATGTTCGCCATATTCAATCTATTTCAAGCGTGTTTATACATTCATCGCTTCAAAATTTGTGTTTGAATGTTCCCAAAATATACAAAAACACTTGTTCCCAAAATAAACAAAACACATGGCATCATGTTATGTACCAATAGAACGCTGGCGATGCGGATTGTACGGTGCGCTTATGATTATTGAAGTACAAAACTATTTTCCCGTAAAATTTGCAAAAGGTTACCAATCTACAAGCTCCTAGGGGTGACGATATTAACTGTGTTCGTCCGCGCATGTGACCACGTGCTATTCATAATCTATTCATTTTCATTTTTATTACGTTCGATTATACAAGTCATATAGTCTTTCTTGAAAAAAGGTTATATATACAATTATTTGCCGCATAAATCATCTTGATTTTTTAAGCTTGTTACCTTTCTCACCAACTGGGATGTTCGGTCCTGTAAGGGCACCTGCAAGCGAAGTAATTACCGCCAAAATAAGGAACGCTGTCAGTCGTCTGCTGGACATCTTGCAGTCACACTCTCCTGTATACATGTATGTGAAAGCACGTTAAATGTTTAAGAGATATCGTTTTCAATTTTGATATGACAAAGACTTTTTGTTGCAGTTTGTAATATAAATGTGTGTTTATTAATTAAAAAACAAAAAATGCCACAAAACAACAATTTTTCACCAAAATTAGGTGTAAGGCCACGTGTTAACATGGAAAATCTAGATTTTGGGTAATTCCAATGGTTTTCATAATTTTTTGTTTACCGTTTCCCTTATGTGTGTTTTGACGACTTTTTCCTCCTCCCATTTTGAGGCCTCAAACAGTGAAAAATGCTCTATTTAGGCCCCAGAAACTGTTTTTCGTTTAAGAAATATTGTTAAAAAAGTTACTTGTTTTTCGGCGCAAAATGATACACCAGGGGGTTGCCAGAAGGGGGATGTGACCCCTTCTGTTTGGGGGGTTTGAATTTGGCGGTAGTCCCCCTCATCGCCAAGAAAATTTTGGTCATGTGACAGGCTAAAAGTCGCCTCAGGTCGATCTTATGGCGACGTGAAACCTACGCTGAAATGCCTTTTATTCTATCTCATTGCAACGAGGAGTTGCAGCACTTTGAAATCAGTTTTGATGGAAAAAACAATGCAAAGAAGTGATTTTTCGCAATTTTGAGACGCCCACCGTTGTCGTGGTAACAGGATTTTTTTTATTGAGCATGTTGTTACAGAGGTTATGGTTAGTTAACATGCCAAGTTTCATCAGTATTGATGCATTTTTCATAGTTTTATAGCAGTTTGAACTTGTAACAGAAGGCTTTTCAATGAAAACGGCCATTTTTCACAATACATGTATACACAGCGACAAAATACAACGTTATTCTCTTTAAATAAGCTTCACATACATCAGACATGATGTTATTGGTATAAGTTTCGTATTAAGCAGATCTATTTGAATATAAATTTAATGTTAATGTATTGAACTTGAATAGAAATATTCAGGTAAGATAATTTCACCCACTTTTAAGTTGTATTTACTCATTATATTTGCATTTTTACGGCTGCGTTTTTATTGACGCTGTACGTAATAAACGAAAAAATGTCATATCTTCTGGATTTTCTAGGTCCTGTTAATATGTAATGTGATTATTAATAGATAGAACGGAAATAAAAATGTGGATTTGTTTAAACTTTTTCATTTTTCAATGCATTGTGTTATAGCCAGGATAAATGTTTCGTACTTCTTATTTCCATATGTAGGAAAGTATTGACTTTTTGAAAACATGTACTCGAATTTAGAATGTTACCATCTCATGTTTAAATGCTGAATTCTACTTAAGCCGGTGCCAGATTGATTGACAGGCAGCTGAGGCTAACATATTTTCGATATAAGATACTATGCAGACCTAACACCTACTGGAAAAAAATGATTTCACAACAAGAGAACGTCAAAAAAGCCATCCAATGATGCATGAAAATGCGTGTATTAAGTAAAGCAAAAACAGCCAACTGGCTTAGCAGTATAGTTAAACAGAATGGCAAGAGCATGAGCACCACTTAATTCTCAGCGCAAACTATTTGGAACTTATGGGGGCTGATCTGTACCTTGTTGTTACTAAACGCCGCGGAGCGCCAGGTGAAACACGAAAATAGGACAAAGTGCTCAATTTTTCGTACTTTCGCTCCCCGGTGCGCAAAGGCAATCGTTTTTCGCCTTTGCGCCCCGCGCAGCGAAAATACGACACATGTTGACTTTGTCGTATGTTCGTGTTTCCGTGGCTCTAACAGAGCGAAATACGATATGGCACAAATCCGTCAGTTAAAAGCATCAAAGTAAAGTATTTTTCATCCCGTTTTTATATATTCTCGTCGGATGATGGCGTGATATTTGTTTGTGGTAAAATTGGGTCACCGCTAATGGCCGCGCCCATGACTTTAAAATATGTTTTGCTGTATGAATTCAAGACTTGAAATGAGCAATATGATCTCCTTTTTGTTTATTTAGCTAGTCATAATTGTATTCTTTTATTGTGATATTAGTGATTTGACTGTTATTTTTCTGTTTGTTTGTTGTTATAACCAGTGGCATATTACATGCCTTAGTTTAATAAAAACTGAAACTGATATTTTTTTCTTTTTAACTTTTATCACAATGCTTGCTGTAAATGCTCTATGGTTGAAAATATGCTGTAACGTACATTGCAAGCATATCAAGAAATGTCCAAGAGCAACATTGGAAAAGTATGTTACAATGTATCATTTGAACTGACAGATGTTTGCCTGAACACGTTATTCTGTTTATTATTCAAATATTGAAAGTATAACGAAAAATTAGGAGCTACCTCGCAGTTAACCATGAGCGGTGATCCAATGTACCGTAAACATGTAAATGTCACGTGGCCACCCACCTTATAACTATAGATGTTGAGGATTCCATTCATATACGAGAATATCGCCTGGAACTATTGACTTTCTTATTATTTGAATGTAGATAGTCTAGCACTGAGTCAAAGTTCCTGTGAGTGGCATGTAAACATATAAAAATGTGATCCATTAATAATGTTATCTACAAACACGTTGATAAATGTCAAACAAATCCTTACAAACATTGGCATAAAGACAAAAGACATGCACTGAATAAAAAAGAAATATAGCATAGAATTAATTACATGTAGTCATAAAAACGTACGATACGTATATGTAAATGTGTGCTAGCGGATACATTGATGTGGCGCAAACTTTTTGATCTTTATATGCATTCACATTTTTTCCCACTAAAAAGACTATTGAAGAAGTTGTAACAAAAAATCCTGTATTCATAGTTTGATTTGCGACGTTTTTGCAACACAAATGCTGAAAATAGTACACCTTTTAAGATGTGACTATAGTCCTTATTATAAGACCTACACGTAACTTACCATATTTTATGTTTATTCTTCATTATTCTGGTATTTTACATTTTTCATTTTCCAAAAGCCTTGATTACATAAAATGTTTAATGTCTTATTGATAAATATAAAACATTAAATAATCCTTTTCCTGTTGGCACTGAACTGAACAATTTTGTTTGTTTCTAATATTTACTTTAAGCATAGTGAAAATGTAAATTACTATCAACGCACATAAATTGTATTATAATAATATGTGTTATAAACCATTCTGCGAATATGAGGATTTTTTGGTTTATTAAAAGTCACTTTTCTTACAATCTATAACGATTTTTTATTTATAATATTCAGTTATAGAAGAAGAAACTGTAAAGAAAACAACAAAATCTGTACTCACAAGTTAAAAACTATCCAACACTGACCTGTATAGAATAAGAACACGTGTGTGTCTGTATAGCAAAACAAAACAACATGTATTAGCAATAACAAACATAACAGCAGGCTTAAACATATGTCGTCTGCGCAGGATACTATAATTATCATTGGTCACGTGCCGAGCTCGTGCTGTCTGTTATTTATCAAAGCTGGTGCTGCGTTTGATAAAACAATAATAGGAAATAATGAAAACATGTCCGATGCATAACCTTTGAAAATAAGCGTTAGCGGTTCATAAAACGTTATTATCATGAATCCTAATTATCATAAAAGACCAGATGTAATTAAAACATCTGAATAAATGAATACTAATAATAAACACGAACATAGAAAAATTAGGTAAAATGATGCGTATAATAAGTAGAATTTAAAAATCCCTTGAACTATGAAGAAGTTATAGATCGCACACAAAATATACCCTAAAACAGACTCTGTCAATCTTTGACCTCTAAGTGTGACCTTGGAGGTAGGGACTCATGTTTTGCTCCAGACATATCATCTTGTTATTGTGATTATTTGTGCAAAGTAATTTTAAAAAGTTATTGACTGAACACAAAATACACCCTGTAACAGACTATGTAAATCTTTGACCTCTATGTGTGATCTTGACTTTGGAGGTAGGGACACATGTGTTACGCATGACATATCATCTTATCATTGTGACTATTTGTGCCAAGTATTTTCAAAATCCCTTCATCTATGAAGAAGTTATGGATGGGACACAAAATATACCATATAACAGACTGTTAATCTTTTACCTTTAAGTGTGACCTTGACCTTGGAGGTAGGGGGGAAGGTGTTGTACCTGACATATTGTCTTATTATTGTGACTATTTGTGCCTAGTTATTAAAAAAAAACGAAGAAGTTCTAAATCAGACACAAAATATACACTAAAACAGACTATGTTAACTTTTGACATCTAAGTGTGACCTTGAACTTGAAGGTAGGATGCACGTGTTGCGCATGACACATTGTCGTATTATAGTGACTATTGTTGCTGTTGTTATTGTTGTTGCTCTAGTTGTAGATATCATTCTTGTTGTTGTTGCTATTGGCGTTGCTGCTGCAGCTATTTTCAAGTTTTAAAAAGATGTTTCCACTGAACTACATTCATGTGCATAAAGATGCAAATGTTTAAGCATGAGGACAATTTAAAGTGTTTTAATGTTGTTGTTATTGTTATTTTCAGACATATTTTATAACCATCATCATCATTGTTGCTGTTATTATTATCATAGTTGTTGCTGTCGTTGTTGGTGGTGGTGGAAGTGCTGTTGCTGATATGCTAAAGTTTTAACAAGATTGATTTATTAGTGCGAATGGGCTAACGAGGATAATTTTATTTTGTCTGTTTGTGATCACCGGGATAAAACCAGCCCGATAAAAGGTTAGAAATACAGGTTTTGAAAGTTGCTTTGGCATGCACGATGTAGATCGAACACGTGACCGCTTTTCACGCAACATAAAAGTAAAGAAGGCTCCTTATTACATTGGCTTGTTTTGTACCTTGTAATTAAAAGAGTGTTTTTAAGGCGATTCCGAACACATTCCTGTATAATGAGCCTGTTATTTCATATAGAATAGAAACAATAGCTTGCTTGGCGCGTTTTTTTTCTGTTTAATCATGAATAAAAAAAAAAATCATACGCTTATTATTCAGCATGAATGAAAACCAATTCTTTGAAAAACAAGTATTTTGATTTTTCCTGGCGAAACAAATGCTTTGATGTATAGTATTTATTGACCTTGACATCGGGCAATTTTCAATAATGAGCGACTTTCAGTGAGTGTTTTTTTGGCGCTTTAGAAAATGAAGAAGAGATATTTATTCTTCCTGCATAAATGTTGGTTAATCCAGAGACATAGATAACTTATCTATGTCTCTGGTTAATCCGTCAATATAATAGGCATATATTATATTATAAGTATAACTGAACTACGTTGCCATGCTAGAATACCAGTCTCCAGCAGTATCTCACCTAGGGGAAATAACCATTGCGCTTGAATGTTGTTTTGTCGTTTAACAGTTACACACCTTTATCTGAAGATTATACATTGGTGATGCTTATTTTACAGATAGAATATTTTCTTTGGTTTGTTATACTGTATTTATCGAAACAAATATGTGCTGTTTAAGTATTATTTCGCTACGGGGAATAAAGTATTGGGTTAAGGCATACGCATTCATTCCACTTCTTATAAATGAAAAGACAAATAATCAGTGTATAAAGTGTTTACCAAAGAAATAGCACCTTTTTAATTACATTTAATATAAATTATGTAACGAAACATTCTCGTTATATATCATACCAAAGGCTTCTTAAAAAGTGTTGTACTTTCTTAAGAACACGCCATGTTTGTTATAATATGTCATTCTGGCGTCAACATTATCCCTGATAACATGATAGTTATAAGTTTACCACCGTCTGAAATACGATCACATCTTTATAGTCTACTTTCTTTCTCATATTTTCACAAATCTTCTTTGTAGTTTACTTTCCGTTCTTTACAAAACTCTTCTTTGTTGTTTATTTCTTTTAAATCTTTTCATAAATCTTCTTTGTAGTTTACTTTCTTTCTCATATTTTTACAAATCTTCTTTGTAGTTTACTTTCTTTCTCATCTTTTCACAAAACTTCTTTATAGTTAAATTACTTTCTCAACTTTTCAGAAATCTTCTTTGCTTTTTCCCCATTATCTTTCTCCTCTTTTCACGAATCTTCTTTGTAGTTAATTTTCCTTCTCATATTTTTACAAATCTTCTCTGTATGTTACTTTCTATCTCACCTTTTAAGAAATCTTCTTTGAAGTTTATTTTCTTTCTCATCTTTTCACGAATATGCTTTATAATTAATTTCTCGTTCATTTTTTCACGAATTTTCTTTGTAGTGTACTTTCTTTCTCATCTTTTCACGAATCTTCTTTATGGCTTACTTTCTTTCTCATATTTTTACAAATCTTCACTGTAGTTTACTTTTTTGTCCTCTTTTAACAAATCTTCTTTGAAGTTTATTTTCTTTCTCATTTTTTTTTCACGAATCGTCATTAAAGTTTGTGTTCCTTCTTATCTTTTCACGAATATTCTTTATAATTTATTTTCTTTCTCATGTTTTCACAAATCTTCTTTATAATTTACTTTCTTTCTCGTCTTTTCAGGAATCTTTCTTGCTTTTTCCCATATTTTCTTTCTCATCTTTTCACAAATCTTCTTTGTAGTTTACTTTCTTTCTCATCTTTCAGAAATCTTCTCTGTAGTCTTTGTAGTTTACTTTCTTTCTCATCTTTTCACGAATCGTCTGTGTAGTTTATTTTCTTCCTCATCTTTCACGAACCTTCTTTATAGTTAACTTTTTTTCTCATCTTTCAGAAATTTTCTTTGTAGCCTTTGAAGTGTACTTTCTTTCTCATCTTTTCACGAATCTTCTGTGCAGTGTTTTTTCTTTCTCATCTTTTCACAAAACTTCTTTGTAGTTTACTTTCAATCTCATCTTTCAGAAATTTTCTTTATAGCCTTTGTAGTTTACTTTTTTTGTCATCTTTTCACGAATCTTCTTTGTAGTTACTTTTCTCTCTCATCTTTCCACTAATCTTCTTTGTAGTTTACTTTCTTTCTCATCTTTCAGAAATTTTCTTTGTAGTCTTTTTAGTTTACTTTCTTTCTCATCTTTACACGAATCTTCTCTGTAGTTTATTTTCTTTCTCATCTTTCACTAACCTTCTTTATAGTTCACTTTTTTTCTCATCTTACACAAATTTTCTTTGTAGTTTATTTTCTTTCGCACTTTTTCACAAACCTTCTTTGTAGTTTATTTTCTTTCTCAGCTTTTCACAAATCTTTTTTTGTAGCTTATTTTCTTTCTCATCTTTTTACAAATCTTCTTTAATAGTTTTCTTTTTCTCATCTTACACAAATCTTTTTGTAGTTTACTTTCTTTGTTATCTTTTCACGAATCTTCATTATAGTTTGTTTTCCTACTCATCTTTTAATGAATCTTCTTTATAATTTATTTTCTTTCTCATCTTTTCACGAATCTTCTTTATAGATTACTTTCTTTCTCATCTTTTCACGAATCTTTATTCCTTTTTCCCACATTTTCACGAGTCTTCTTTGTAGTTAACTTTCTTTCTCATCTTTTCACAACTCGTGTTTGTATTTTATTTTTCTTCTCATCTTTTCACGAATCTTCTTTGAAGTTTATTTTTCTTCACAATAATAACAAATCTCCTTTATAATTTACCTTTTTACTTCCCTTTTAACAAATCTTCTTTGTAGTTTATTTTCTTTTTTATCTTTTTACAAATCATCAAATTCTTTATACCAGAAGTATATTTTCTTTCTCATCTTTATACGAATATTCTTTGTAGTTTATTTTCTTTCTCATCATTTCACACATCTTCTTTGTAGTTTATTTTCTTTTTCGTCTTTTCATTTATTTTCTTTATAGTTTACTTTCTTTCTCATCTTGCACAAATCTTCTTTGTAGTTTTTCTTTCTTTCTCACCTTTTCACAAATCTTTTATGAAGTTCATCTTCTTTAAATTTCTCATCTTTTAACGTTTTTTTTAACCAGTAGTTTATTTTCTTTCTCACCTTTTCACGAAACTTCTTTTTATTTTATTTTCCTTCTCATCTTTTCATGAATCTTCTTTATAGTTTACTTTCTTTCTCATCTTTTCTCCAATCTTCTTTATCGATTATTTTCTTTTTCACATTTTTACAAATCGTCTTTGTATTTTATTTTTCTTCTGATCTTTTCACGAATCTTCTTTGTAGTCTATTATCCAGCACATTTTTTCACGAATCTTCTTTGTAGTTATTTTCCGACCCATCTTTTCACGAATAGTCTAAATATAATTTATTTTCCTTCTCATCTTTTCATGAATCTTCTTTATAGTTTACTTTCTTTCTCATCTTTTCACCAATCTTCTTTATCGATTATTTTCTTTTTCACATTTTTACAAATCGTCTTTGTATTTTATTTTTCTTCTGATCTTTTCACGAATCTTCTTTGTTGTCTATTATCCAGCACATTTTTTCACGAATCTTCTTTGTAGTTATTTTCCGACCCATCTTTTCACGAATAGTCTTTATAATTTATTTTCCTTCTCATCATTTCACAATTCTTCTTTGAAGTTTATTTTCCTTCTCATCATTCACGTATCTTTACTTTCTTTCTCATATTTTTCACAAATCTTCTTTGTAGTTTACTTTCTTCATCATCTTTTCACGAACCCTCTTTGTAGTTTTCTTTCTTTTTCATCTTTTTACAAATCTTCTTTGTAGTTTATTTTCTTTCTCATCTTTTCACGATTCTTCTGTGTAGTTTATTTTCTTTCTCATATTTTTCACGAATCTTCTTTGTAGTTTACTTTCTTTCTTATCTTTCCACAAATCTTCTTTATAGTTTTTTTCTATTATTTTCATGAATCTTTTTTGTAGTTTGAGTTCTTTCTCATCTTTTCATGAATTTTCTTTGTAGTTCATTTTCTTTCTTATCTTCTACAAATCTTCTTTGAAGATATATTTCCTTCTCGTCTTTTCACAACTCTACTCTGTAGTTTTTTCTCATCTTTTCACGAATCTTCTTTGTAGTATATTTTCTTTCTCTTCCTTTTTACAAATATTCATAGTAGTTTACTTTCTTTCTCATCTTTCACAAATCTTCTTTGTAGTCTTTGCAGTTTACTTTCTTTGTCATTTTTCACAAATCTTCTTTGTAGTTTACTTTCTTTGTCATCTTCTCACAAATCTTCTTTGTAGTTTACTTTCTCATCTTTTCACAAATCGTCTTTCTCATTTATTTTCTTTCTAATACTTTTACAAATTTTCTATAACATGTTACTCTGAGTCTGTTGTTGCCCTTTAAAGCATCCTTCCTCACATTTCTTTAATGTATTGTTTTATATAAAATGTTGAGTTTATTCTTTTATATATAATGTTGTTTTTAATTTTTCTCTCAACATAACAGACTATGTATGATGTTTACCGACTCTCCTTCGAGCAAATCGTCTGATGAATCGATCTGGTCAGTCATTTGTTTCACAGAAGTGATATTTACCCGGAGAGTATATACTCGTAGCACTAATACTATATGCACTTCTTTTGTTTGAAAAAAACAAAAACAATTGTCATCTCGAATCGCGTGCCATTCTTTTCTCCGCAGAAAGTTTCCGAAACATCAGTTATTGTTACTATGATTTGTTCCATACATTTCATCTCTGGATATATATGGAGTATAGTTTCACATGCGTTCATCTTTCGCATATCGTACAGTTACTGATTTTCGTGTAGAATATGGCAATCATTATATACAACAAATATAAAAAAATACAAATCAGCATCTCAACAAAAACAAAATACAAACAAATAAAATCGAAAAACTAAACCAGTCACTTTTGGAAATCATCCTTTCAGTCGTTGAAAAAAATGCTTAAATTCTTATCACACTTCAAGCAAAGAAGTATATGAAGTATTAAGTTTTGCCAAAAATGAAAATTTCTTCTTCAAGTTTGTTGAATTTGGTTTCGTTTCTTCGTAAAGAGATGAAAAGTTCGATGAACAAAAGATAACAAAAAATAATAAAAAATAAACAAATTTAGTTAAAATATTTTTGCATCTCTTTCCTAATTTTTTCGGGTATGAGATTGCTCACGTTTGCATTTCTTTTTTCTTGTTCCTTCTTTTTCTCATTCTCCTTCCTTACCCTTGACCTAAATCCGAGCCCTCGTTTTGCTGTATCATTATTCCAGGACTTGACGGGCTCGGATGACTTGTATGGCACAGCAGCAGCTGGTATAATGCAAGGTGTCGCTCGACCTGGCAGATTGGAATTAGCTTCCGCGGCCATTGAAGGAGGCATTCTCTCCATATTGCATGTAATGTCGGCGTTCTTTTGCTTTACTAGTGCTTTATGTAGATCTTCCAGCTCCCGTTCTACCCTGAGCGCCTCCTGTACATCAGCTTCCCAGTTGATTTGAACCTCTGCTGGCGGAGGTCGTGGCTTGTGATATTTCTGTGATGGATTGTACACAGAAATATCCTGGTCAAGCTGAGTGGAGACGCGCAGGGCTCTTCGTCTGTTTCTATATGTACCTTGCTGTGAGGTGTCGGGTTTGGGAGCTGTCGGAGGGGCCGGGCTGTAAACTGATGTCTGAAATTGGTTGGAGGTTTATATCATAATAGTGTAAATGAACGATTAAAATACATGATCAGATTTGTCTGCACGCGTGAAAGAACCAACACATTGTATAATTTTAAGCTTCTGCAATAATCATGAAGTGACATAAACAACTATATTACAATATATACACGTATATAGATATAGAAAAGTTGAAACAATTTAGTGTTTTGGGATACTGTTATGACTTTGTTTTTGAAATTGGGTATTGGATTGGGATTGGGCCTGATCTCAATTCTTTTTAACTTTGTAGAGGAATGAATGTCAACTTAAGCCGTTTCTAAAAGACGTAAGAGATGCTGAACTTTTCAATGTCTTTCGTTAACAGACTGATCCGTCAAAACAGAGTTTAATTTGCGTTTCAAAGTCTCTTGAAAAATTTCACTTTTTCCAGGCCTTCTGTCATAAAGGTCAGACTTCATTATTATAAGAATGTTTTCTATATTATTTATCAATGATTTATAGCAAAACAAATGAAAGACAGATTTGGAGAAATTGTAATAATGTCAATAGTCAATAAAAACAAAGTTAATACCTGTATTTTATTTAAACTATTGGAGTCTATGTGAGTAGTAAGCGTTCTTTTCGCTGTATCTGCTTCTCTTATGGTAGATACATCACTGGTATGGCATGGAACATGCACATTCCTCTCTTGGACATCTCTTCTATAGCCCTCGTGTTTTATCTTATTTCTTCTTTCATACTCGAGAACTTGCGGACTTTTTTCTATCTCACTCTTGTCGTGAATGCCTTCCATTAATGATCTATATAATGCATCTTCGTCGAGTACCTTTATATCTGTTTGGCGGGTCTGTTGACGACATGGTCTGTTAATTGGTGGCAACTTTGTTACTTTGTCTTCGAGTCCTCTCTTGTGTTCTTCAGTGTAATGCCACGATGGAACTGAAATATAAATGACAATAAATATAATTTATGCGTAAATAAAAGTTGGCGGTAGGTTTTGACATACAAATTTATGTTGTACTATGAAGATGTTCAATTCTTAAGTAATAATCATGAAGTAAAGACAATAGAAATTTCCGTAGCCTACTTTCCATACAAAGTAGTTCTAATTACTTACATAGATACACACATTAACTTATTTAAGAATATGAAATAATTTTATATTGCGCTTGTTTCTACGTTGAAGTATAATCTATTTAATCTACAATTTGTATTTACCACTCGGAGTTTTAGCTCGACTATGACAGGAAACATCTTTGAGTCCAACGTTTGTAGAAGACTTGTGTTCACCATATAGACAGTAATTTCTAGCCGGTGGTGGTTTTGAAACTAGATATTTACCGACGACGACGGGAGGAAGGCGTGTTTCATCAATTTTAGGCTTTGGTCTGGAGACAGGCGGTAAAATGTTACCATTGAAGTCGGGTGTGAAGGTATCACCAGACTTTGTAGTCTCGAAGCATTGATCTATAAAAAATAATTCATTAAAAGCGATTTATTAAAGATTTTCAGTGAAATCGTACATCTGAAATAATTATGGTTCCTATTTATTAAACAGAAAACAGACAGTTCAAATAGGTAATTTACAATCTGAGTTAGTGGTTAAATCAGGGGTTACTCAAGGATCAATGATTCTTGGACCCCTACCTTTTACTTTATCTATGTCGATGATATACATGTATCTATTCTCAATAATGATCTCAATATAGACTTTTTTATGCAAATGACTCTACACTTTATTAATAGGGTGATCACAAGATAATTTAAAAAAAAAGATTTAACTTAAATAAATATATATCTTTGGTAACATGCCTTTGCACCCAATAAAACAAAATGCATGATAATTGGTTCTCCAAAAAAGGTAAAGAATTTTAATACTCTTTTTCTGAAAATTAAATGATACAACCCTAGAAAATGTTACCGTTCTAAAGTGATTGGGCATTTATGTAGATAATGCGTTAAACTGGCATTAACAAATAGACTCTCCTTTGCAAAAAAACTAACTCTTCAAACATACCATCTTACCAAACAGACGAAGTAAAAAAAATTCTTCCACGGTATGGTGAAAGGGCACAAACTCGTACATCATTAAAGTAAATTCAATCCAAAAAAGAGCTGCCAAAATAAAAATTTAACCGGCGGATGGGTTCGCTAACATTCGATTTGTTAATAATTAAAAAGGCTGAATTTCAATTTTAGGGTGAAATTTCAAAAAGCAATTATTACAGGTACAATTATTTATCTTTAAATAATCTGGCACCGTTTTATGTGAGTAAAAATTTAGTTTCTCTTGCAATGAATTACATAATTTACGCATAATCGCTCATAAGGATCTTTTTTCTGAAAACAATACCTCATACTTATTATATAAAACTATTCTTTTTCTTATTTCAGTATTGATGTTTGTAACAAATCACCTTTTACTATAAAACAATGTTTGACATTACATATATTTGACATTACAATCTTTCAAAAACAGCTTCTAATTTTACAGTTGGATACATGATGAAAACTGAAGCCGTTGCCAGTGTTTATATTATAAGTTTTTAATTATCATGAATTTATCTAAAATTACTATGATTAATATAAGTGTCAGCAGGATGAATCAATGAAAATATCTTACCTTTTACATTTAAGAATATATTTGATATTTTGTTTGTACAAAGTATTTCAAATTTTGTATAGACCTACAAGTATTTTTCTGTTCTTTATAATTGTTATTCATTTTCTTTGTTATTGTTAAATCAGAAGGTCGTACTGAAAATAAGTATACATGTTCTCTTTTTCTGTAATCATTATTTGTAAGTTACCTTCTATATTTAAAAGATGATTTTATTATAATCATCATAACTCTTTTGCAACGTGGTTGAAGTGTCCACCTTGAAAATCGAAAGGTCTGTAGTTCAAATCCCGGTCAATGCTTGATTATTTTTCAGGTTTACGATAATTACAATAAATATTAATGAAATTAAAAGTAATACTTACCATTGATATCATCGAAATCGTATATATCTTCATATACTGTATCAACAGGTCTGAAAGTAACACAATGAGTCAATTGAATTACAATAAAGGTCTCTTATTTGCCGACAAAATGTCGTTTTTCTTACGTACGAACATATGAAAAAGTCCCGCTTTTATAATTGTCTTCTCAGATAGTTTTTGTTACATGTTCTGTGGTTGTAAAAATTAATAAATAGCTTCCCTCAAACCTTTACCCCCCACTATCAGTCTCCGTTTTCTGTTTGATGCAGAGGGATATTGCAGGGATGGGGTGGGTGGGAAGGGGGCTTCGTTTCGAAAACGTTGTTCTCCCTCTTTTATATTTACTTTACTTGACTTTAGTACTATAATGTATACGGTGCAAACATATCGTAATATATTTATGTAATCACTAAACACGTTACTATAGAAAATAGAGAAAACTTACTTGTATTTTGTCATATTTGCAATTGTTTGACGATTTTCAGGCGATCAGCAAAAGCGCAGCTTGCAACCATCAGCAACGTTAACGTTGCTATGTCACGTGATAACTCGTTGCCACCTTATTGTTTGATGATAACTTGACGTACTTTTCGACGTCATTTTCTGTGACGTAATCAGGTCCCAAAAACCATCAATATGAAACAAAAAAATAGAACAAACTGACGTGTGTAGACATTTTTTCTTGAATTGATTTGCAAATTATCGGATTATTTCGTGTTGTCCACCATCTTTTTTCTGCTTTTTGTAGTGATTTATTTCGTAACAAAACACACATTTTGAGATATATAAACGATATTGAATGAGTTTAGGTTCAATACTGAATTGAATAAAATTATTTAACACCAGCCTATGACTCTTCTTATGAACCTACACGAATATAATATTCTATTCATCACAAAAATAAAATAAGAACCTTTTATGGTAAAAAAATATTTATTTACTGACGCGCTTATATAAACAGTGCAATGCTTACACTACGTCTTTACGCTAAATAGAGGATATTTGTTTGTTTTGCATGTAAGATTGAAATATAATTTCACTGAGTGAACACCAGATGCAATATTATCACGAGTGGCGTAGCCACGAGTGAAAATATAATTGCTGGTGTTCACGAATGAAATATATTTCAATCTTATATGTAAAACAAATAATTTTTCTTTTTATTTCATGCTTTTTAAGTGATTTTAAGTACTTTTTTACTAAATTTGCCGCGTAACGTCGCGCATTCTCCCATGTGACGTCATCACATCATGACGTCACATTATCAATTTTGAAAAATAGGTCTGTTACATTTCTCTAATTTTGTTACATTTTTAACATTATGTATGATGACATCGACTTTCTTTTCCTAAAGAAGCAAACTTTACGCATGACGCCATATATTTCTGCCTGTTATTCCATTCAGTTATGATTTTCCTTTCATCCGCATTCAGATTATATATGTCCGGCTACAGTACAGTGAAAATTATATTTTATAAATTTCACTAGTGGTTTATCAGAATATAATCATCTGATATATTACAATAAAACACTGGAAAACATGAAATAATGTATGTTTTTTTCGCAAGTGACGTCATGTCAAAAACTGCACGGCCGTGCCATACGGAGTCAGGAAAACGGCACGGGTATGTGATACATTGAAATCCGCCATCGAAGTTATAAATGGGTATACATATTGTATATTTCATGACTAAGGTAAATGTAATTAGACGACATGACACGACGGCATCAATTTGGGCGCCAGATGATTCTATACTTTCATGAAACATAATTTAATTTTGACAAAACAGTGATCTTTTCCAAAGTTCGCATCATTCCATCAAAATATTCAACAGACTAAGGACGATGATTCATTCAATTGCTCGTAAAAATATTGTTTAAAATAATTGTTTCTTCTATTTTTAGCTCTGTTAACGCCGGATGACGTAAAAAAAAACCTATAATTAACTGAATCTTACGCTTTGGTGATATTAAAATTTACAAAACCTGTTTATATTGTACACTTTTGAACCACTCGAAATTACAATTATCATTTTATATAGAATCTGAACGAATCAACTCAGAGCTCTATCATTCATCATTTTAAATATATACACGTCTCTATCAAGATGGATGGATGGCACTTTGAACATTAAGTACATAATTTCAACGTGTCGACATAGTAACAAACTGAGTTGCAATCAAAAATATGTATTATATTATATTTTGAGCACACACCGGTTGTTTCACCTAAACAGCGTTCCTGGATTTATTTTTTGCAATGTCCTATCTCCGCAAGTTATATACAACTTCTCCTCTGAATTAGAAACAGGCACATTAGACAGATGATATTAAGGTTATTTTCATCACCAAAACGTCATGACAATGACCTTTGACCGGGCAAAAATTAAATTTAAGAAAATTTAAAAAATTTGACCTTGATGGTCAAGGTCAAGTAGAACTCAAGGTCATATCAGAATAAATCAACATGTGACATATTATCATGTGTTCTTTGGTGTAAGTATAAATCAAATTTGTATAATAACAAACTTGGGAGAATTTATGTAAATTTTACTAATGTGACCTTGATACTGGAAATTGTCTAATAATTGTATGATATCCATGTATTGTATACAACAACTTTGGTACAGCTTTATGTAAGAATCATGTCACATTACCATTATCACATTTGGCTAAGCAGTTTTAGAGGAGATACTCGATGAAAGTTGGCCAGACACAACGGACAGTCTGGTGATAATAGCTCATGATCTGGCGAGCTAATATCAATAAAATGATGCAAAAACATATAACAATAAAGTTTTATTAGAAATATTCCATATATTTTCTTATATCAGCAACACAAGCATGTTTTCATACAACCATTTCACGAACACATTTTCCTTATAACAAACTGTAAAATAGTAAAATACCAAAACAAACATGTTTCAGTTTGTAAAAGAAGTCATTAGTATAAATGTATAAATCAATTATAAAAAAAGTGAAAATTTAAAATATAATTGTAAAATATAACAATCTCAAGCAAAAAAAAATAAATTCTGTTGTTGGGTATTAAATACAGTGTAGCCTCTGCAGAGAGGCCACCTGTAGAGCAATCACCCCTTTACAACAACCAGGTATCTTTTTTTTCAAAGGTAAGATATGACTACAAATTTAGCCTCTATGTAAAGTAACTATTATGTCCTAATCAATTTTTGTAGAGCAATCTCACATGTAAAAGTTCAACAGGAATATATTAAAAATGCATATTAAGTGTTACTTGTTTTAAAAAGTGATCAACAATTATGAATATAAAGACGTTTTAAGTGAATGGCTCCAATATTTGAGCCGTGTCACGACAAAACCAACATAATGCGTTTGCATCCGCGCAGGCTGGTCGCAAACCCATTGTGTTGGTTTTGTCATGGCATGGCTCATTTGTTGATTATACATTAAAACTAGGAATTTTTCACAAAAAGCTTTAAAGAAGCATGCCTCCAGATTCATTTTCGTGATCTAAGCAAACAATAATTTGACCTTGACGGTCAAAGTGATTTATAGATCAAGGCAATATTTGAATTACTAAACATGTTTGTTTTGTTATCAGTGTTATCTTGTAAAATTATAAATAAAAAAATAAATTATAAATAAAAAAAATAATAATTATTCTGGTAAAATGGATTGGTTGAATGATTTGAAATTTTATATGCAATTTATTTTATGTTATACATAGAAATCCAGATAAACATCTACAATTGTTAAGCTTATCAACATAAAATTTACACTCTAAAGGGAATTAATATTTTCTTATGAATATTCCGGAATTTTCCAAAGAAAAATGCTAAAAAAATGAGATCTATACTTGAATTACATCATATTTGATGTTACTAAAAATAGTACAAATATCTATTTTTAGATCCTTTGATTTACAGCAAAAAACACAGTACATTAAAAGCCAATCAAATCAGTCTCACATTAACCCTTTACCAGCTGGTTTTCATCGGTGGACTTTTGCAGCTTCCATTATTGGAACAGTTCATTATCAATTTCCGGTATTTCAAGATGAAAATAAAATTTGAAGTTTAGGTCATCCAACAGTATAGACCCTGGTCAGATGTGCTCGCTGGCCCACTGGCACCAGAGTTCTTAAAAAATCATAAATAGAGGATATTCAAGTTTTTTCTATAAATACATGATTTATTTTCATCGAGTGGTATGAAAATAAATATTTCATAAGTGGCGGTAGCCACGAGTGAAATATGGTAATTTTCATGTCACAAGATGAAAATACATCATGTATTTATGGAAAAACTTGAATTTTCTGTTTATTATGATATATATATTTTTCTCATTTTTGACAATTAAAAATTTGAAAGACTTTCCCTTGAATTTTGTGTACTGGCAGAATTTAAAAGAAAGTAGTCCGGCAAGACACCAGTGAAAATACAGAAAATATGTTTCACTGCAGTGAAAAATAATTTTTTTCTGTGATAATACGGAAACTGAAAATACATATTTATTTCATCAATATTTCTCAATATTTTCATATATAAGTATATAATAAAATAAAGTATAACCATATTACACAAACTGCCCAAAATATTATCAAGAATTATTTTTCTGACACATCCCCGTATATACTATCATATATTATGTTATTAATTATGTGTTGAAAAAATAATTTTTGATAATATTTTGTGGCAGTTTGTGATAAGGGGTATAATTTAATTTATTTTACGTTTATTTAACGACTCTGGTGCCAGTGGGCAGTGGCCTGGCTCTATACTGGTGGCAAAGATTAACTTTCAGTTCCAGCATTGGTAAAGGTCAATGAGTTCATCCAGGCACACTTATAACAATAACTACAATAATGATAATGTACATTTATTACCTTTTTTTTTAAACAACAATACATAACATATATTTACAATTTATTCAATAACAATTAACAATTAATATGATTCTGTTCACAACTTTAGTATGAAAAATGTGTATTCATATACACTGTTTAGTATATACAAAGGTAACTAACTGTCTGCACTAAAGAAAATGATATTCAAAATATATATACATCAATTTATACACAATCAATAACAGTCAAACTTGTGAATAAAGGCCAGTGAAAGGAGAGACCATGCATGGCCTTTAAAGACATGTGGTCTGTATTTGGAGTTTAATCTCTTGTTTTTCTGTCAATGACGATTTGTCAAAGAGTGGTCTTGAATTACAGGGCAATCTTTATCAAAAGGTGGTCTTTGACACATGTTTGACAGTATGACTTAACTCTTCATCCAAAAAATATTCATTACGTTAATTTATTGTACAATAACTTGCAGGAAACTAAATCACAACTTAAAATGCCCTGTTGGGCCGGATAAAAGTTTAATTTTACTTTATTTGGTCACATGACAACACAATGCATTTCTATTATGTGAAAAATCTTAAATTTTCATATTAATAAGTGCATCATATTATGCATGCATGGTTCTTTAGGTGCCTTAGTTAAACAACACATTGATATTTACCAAGCCTATCCATTGTCAATAATTGATGTTCATTCCATATGGAAGCCAATTAATGAAGAACTGTTAACATCATTTTTTCATTACAAAAAGTGATTAATTACTGTACAATGATACTAATTTCAATTATCACTGACAAAATTAAATTCCTCATAACTTAAGTGCATTATGCATGTGTATTATCAAAGTGCAAATTTCAAAATCGTTAACGTAGATAAAATTGGCACATTTCCAAATGTACAAAAATGCTATCATGATGACTTTTCTTTATTAATATGATATCATATAAATAATATAAAACATAAACAGTTGTATATAACTCTCACACAACAACACGAGCACCACCTGTGGTCGTCTGTTAAGGGCAATGACTATCTATATTTGATTCCAACAAAAAAGTTAAAATGGGACATAACTTCAAAATGACCACCAATATCCAATTTTTACAAGTTAAAAGGGGGCATAACTCCAAAATGACTAACAATATCCAATTTTGACAAAACAAGTTAAAAAGGGGCATAACTCCAAAAATTGCTTTCAGAATATGCCCCTTGTCTAACAACTGCAGCTCGTCATAATTAGCAAGAATTCCAAGTTGGTAAATTTTAAAAAGTTTGAATAATGGGCTACATTAAGTTTTGTGCATAACAGTGTTGCAATTGCTAAATTATAGTTTGACCTGTTCTTCAAAACAGACAAGCTATAAATTATAAAACTTTTAACACAATACAGTGTAGACAAATACAAAATGCATTAATATTTACTATTGAATATATGGCCTATCTTATATATAGAAATATTGGCTTTTTAAATGGTAATTTACCCTTCTGAAATGATGCTACCATAACACTGGTAAAATATAATTATTATACACAAAGTAAAATGTTTAAAGGCACATTATAGCTCAGAAATCCATATTTATTAAAAATCTTAAGAAATGTCAAACACGCGTACAGCTGAAGAACGTAATGCTGAATATGCAGTAGCATTGAATGTGCAGTTATGTGTCGTGAAGATGGCAAAATGTAAACAAAGTAGTATTATGACTTTTATACAAAATACTAATTCACTATGATTACATGTATACTTATTGGCAACAAAACAAGAGAAGCAAAGATAGTTAATCTATATAGCAAATGAGTATTTAGAAACTGTAAAAAAGATACAAGATATTTAAAGATCTTAAGAAATAATAGCATTTCTGAGGCATAATGGGCCTTTAAGAATAGCCATTAATTTACTATACATGTATTTACAACAATAATTACCAATCACAGATGATTCTTATATACAAGTACTTTTTTCCCCTTTTAAACTAAAAATTATTCTTATAAAACAAAGGTTTATATATACACATTATATATATATAATTTAAATTTAAAATGTCCAATCTTTACCCATACATCATACAATAACATTATTTTTTCAATGACATTTTTTTTCAAGTTATTAATATATACATGTATACATCAACTATAATTACACTTTAAAATGCTAGAAAGATTTACTTAGCACTCTATTAATTAAAAACAAATTCAAGACATAAGTTTAGCAAACATTCTCTGTAAATCTTTAAAAAAAATCTAACAGAAGAATGAATATTCAATTTAATATTATCAATATTATTCTTGTTGTGGTAGCTGTCACCAGTATAGGTAGAAGTTTTTGTGGATGACTCATTGATTGTTACCCTAGTGTTATAATGAGGACTTGTGTCGCAGGTTTAAAATATTTTTTGAACCTTATCACTTCGAGGGTTGACTGCAAAAATGTTGTTAACCTTATATCAAATAAATTACTGCAGTTTTGCCGTCAAACCCTCAATTTGTCAATTCTATAATATGCCCTTCCTTTTTATTGTCTTATTTTATCAAATTAGTCGTAGACCCATCTCTGCATACTAAATAGTAACCCAACATAAACATGGAATTTATTAAAACTCACATGATTTATTTGTTATTTAGCTTTATGTGATGTCAGAGGGCAACAATCCTTAATAATGTCAAAGGACAATATCACATTTTCACCTGCTGACATTACAAAAAGGCCCCTTACGCGCACATGGGTTACCGACTTCATTTTAATTATTAGTTATAATGATTTACACCTCTATTTCGATTATTGATATATTAAATGGAGAGTGATAGAACAAAATTTTCATTCCTGACAAGATAATGTCAGCTTCCGCTAACACATCACATCACATCACCCATCTTGAGTAAACATTTCTTTCTATAACTCTCCGAGGGATGTTATATTTACATAATAAACTACATGGTATTCCTGTTTTGAGTTGGTAACATAATTAAAAGTTAACATTGCTTCATTACACTCAACACCATGTAGAACACTTCAATATATTATATAGTTATGTATAAATGATATTCGTCTTCAACTGTTTACCACACAATACATTTTTTGTCTGGATTCATTGGGGAATTCCTTGGGCAATTATATTCTCTTGCAAAATCATCAGAATTTGATAATGTCCCTATGACCCTGAAATATAAAAATATCATAACACTAGTATTGGAATAGAAATATATAAAGGAAATTTAAAAAGAACAAGAGCTGTCACAGGAGACAGCGAAGCTCGACTAATAAAATACTGGACGCAGTAAGGAGGACAAAACTATGAAAGAAAAATCCATTATGTATAATTATGTATTAAGTTATAGAAAAAAAATAACATTTGTTAACATTAATTCCAAGATCAAGGGGAATAATTCTAGAAATAGTCATCCTAGAGTTATGGACCTTGTCACACAACATTTGTGTAATGATAAGAAATATATATTTGAAGTTTGAAGTAGATACCTTAAAAAGTAAAGAAGTTATTATATTTCTTAAAGAAAATCCTAAGTTCAAAGACAGATAAATCTGTAAATATTGCTTCAAGAGTTATGAACATTGTCACATAAAATGTAATTGATGATAAGGAATAAGTATTTGAAGTTTGAGGTAGATACCTTTAAAAATAAAAAAGTTACAATAAAAAAATAACATTTTTCTAGTAAAAAAATCTAAGTTTATGGAGAGATAATTCTTGCAATATTGGTGCTAGAGTTATGAACCTTGTCACATAAGATGTGGATGGTGATAACGTAAATATATTTGAAGTATGAAGTTGATCCCTTTAAAAATAAATAAGTAACAGTAAAAAATAATATTTTTTATGGAAAATTCTAAGTTCAAAGGGAGCTAAATCTAAAAATATTGGTGCTAGAGTTATGAACCTTGTCACATAAGATGGGGATGATGATAATGTAAATATATTTGAAGTATGAGGTTGATCCCTTAAGAAATAAAGAAGAAACAGTAAGAAATAGTATTTTTTGAGGAAAATTCTAAGTTCAAGGGGAGATAAATCTGAAAATATTGGTGCTAGAGTTATGAACCTTGTCACATAAGATGGGGATGATGATAAGGTACATATATTTGAAGAATGAAGTTGATCCCTTAAGAAAAAAGATGTAACAGTCAAAAATAGTATTTTTTTAAGGAAAATTCTAAGTTCAAGGGGAGATGAATCTGAAAATATTGGTTCTAGAGTTATGAACCTTGTCACATAAGATGTGCTTGATGATAAGGAAAATATATTTGAAGTTTGAAGTTGAAACCTTAAGAAATGACAAAGTTATAGTGAAAAAATTTTACTGCACCAAAACTTTAATCTAAAATCTGGACGCGGACGCCGACGCGGACGCCGACGCCGGGGCGAGTAGGACAGCTCTCCATATACTTCGTATAGTCGAGCTAAAAATAGAAATGTGTCTTTAGGACACAGATACCCCCACATTCCATTGTTTTTTAAATCTATGTACAAATTACATAAAAACAACAGGTCAGTTTGACAGACTACCAAGAGCAAATCTATATCCTCCAACCTAAGTGGAGGCATAAGGTCACCATTTTCCAATTATAATCAATGTAAGAAATATTCAATGTTAAAAAGAACAAACTTTCAGTGCCATTCTCCAATTGGAAGTCAATATTTTCTTGAAACATTCACTGTTAAGAAAATTGCCATTTTCCAATGGAAATCAGTGTTACCAACATGAAGTGTTATTTAAACAAGACTTACCTGAATTTACCAGGACTATGTGGATCACTCAATATTTGTAAATGATCAGCTTCCTTTGTACTTTTAGAACACCAAACCTAAAACACAAGCGTAATGTTGTTATAGAAGTGTTTATCCATTGCAGTCTGTTACATAGCATTCATGTAGCAAAGATTTACCTCAACAATTTTGCTTTCAGTTTAGATTTCATATTGTTGGCAGCTTAATTCTAGAATTTTGAAGAAAAATTAATAAAATCCTCAATGTACAGTTCCAAATTGATAACAGGGCTTGTCCTCGACACAGATAAAGTCACAATGTCACTATGTGACAAACTTTTCCAGCATTTTGCTCCATTCTTTACAGCCACATCACTTTCAACAGCTAGCTTTATACATGAATGAACTTGCTTATACATTTAAAGGGAATCCACTGAGGTTTTTTGACATGATGGGACCGTAATCAAATTTTCAAGATGAATTTCAATTTAGGACTACACCCATAACTTGTGTTCAAAATTTCAGATAATTTCGTTTTTCCAGAACACTTGCAATGCACTCAAATCTGGCAAAGAATAGCACAAAAATACAATTTTCAATTTAGTTCCAATCGTATCTTTTAATTACTATTTGCATATCTAACTGTTTTGAAGAGCTCCAGCTGATCTTTGAGAAAAATTCAAAGTTAATGTTTTAGGTTTTTGAGCCTCAGTGGAGTCCCTTTAAACTTTATACTGTTACTTACATGTGAAAAACTAAGGAAGAAAAGTTGTCTATGTGTAAGATTTACTCCAGGTAAAGGCAACTCCTCCTCATGTTTCGCCAACCAATCCTCGTAAGCCTATGTTAAAAATAAAACAAGCAAACTTATTGAATTATTCTGGTAATTTTAATTATCTAAAGGTTAAGTATGTAATTTTTAGATAAATCATTTCATATAGTAGTCAAATTAAAAGAATTAAGGTGGAAAATGAAATATGCCGACAATGATGAAATACATCAACAATTATGAAACCACTCGATACCTCTAACCTACCAGTCTGCTATCTATATTTAAATTAAGAAATGAACACTCATGCGTAATAAATAGCTTGCTGTTTTGAAGAATGCTTAACAGTGATATGATGCATTTTTACAAGATAAAATTGCTAAAATACTTAGCTTAAAACAAGTTCAAACAACATAGTATTGTCTTCCAACGGAAAATTAAAAGGCCATTTTCAAGTAGATTGGTCTACAATGGGCACATTTTCAATAAATATTTCAATTACAGATAAAAACAATAGAAATGTATCACTTGGATTTTCTAAAAATATTTTTTGGGAAAAAAAAAAAATAATAATAAAAAACGTAACGAGAGTTCAAAGTGATCTAGTATAAACATTTTACAATGAATTATTTCAGGTTATTATTATTGTGGTTCGCGGAACCCTGTCGTTTGCTGTGTTTGTTTGTTTTATTTTTGTTTTCTTTAAGTTTATTGTTGTTACTATAATACAAATCAAGTTTTAGTTTCTTTAACGTCTTTATTTGATCTTTGATCTCATTATTATCATTGTGATTCACATGTAATTTAACATGACCCTTGATTGGAAATAAAAGTTATTCTATTCTATTCTATTCTTTCAGGCTCAAACTGGCACCTGAGTAGAACCCCCGACATCCCATATTAGCAAGCTGGATAGCTTTCTCACATGAAAGAATCTAAATTCAATGGTGGGATTTGAACCCACAGCGCTGAGGGGCAGTGAAGACAAGCATTTATCTTTTTACAATATTAAAGGCAGGAATGGTTTTGTTACATACATGATATGCAGCCTTAAGTCCACCATTATCAGCTATATTCTCTCCCAGTGTTTGTTTACCTCGTACCTGTAAATAGTTTCAACAATATTTCATTAATAAAAAAATGTTGATTGCATTTTCCCAATGTTAGGTTTCTCTACTTTAGGTTCATTTCCCCAACTTAGGGTTAATTTTCTATAACTAGAAATAACTAGAACTGCCACTATCATGGCGTGAATACCCCCGCATACCACTTTGTCAGAATCAACAGTGGCCATTTAGAGCTCAAGGACAACCTCCCTGCCAAATCTGAGGTTACTAAGCCAGTGCATTGCTAAGTTATGTATTCTACATGCTTCAAATGTGAAAATGTCAAAATCAATACATTGCGGACAGGACATTCTTTAACAATTGAGAAGAAAAGCATTTTTTGTCAAGGTCCCTGTGACCTTGACTTTTGACCCAGTGACCTCAAAATCAATAGGGGTCACCTTATAGTCATGATCAACATCCATGCCAAATATGAAGACTGTGGGTCAAAGGAATCTTAAGTTAATGGGTGGACAAACTTTTTGAAGTCAAAGTCCCTATGACCTTGACCTTTGACCCAGTGACCTCAAAATCAAAAGGGGTCATCTACTAATCATGATCAACATCCATGCCAAATATGAAGACTGTGGGTCAAAGGAATCTAAAGTTATTGGGCAGACAAACTTTTTGAAGTCAAAGTCCCTGTGACCTTGACCTTTGACCTGGTGACCTCAAAATCAATAGGGGTCATCTACTAATCATGACTAACCTCCATTCCAAATATGAAGACTGTGGGTCAAAGGAATCTTAAGTTATTGGGCGGACAAGCTTTTTGAAGTCAAGGCCCCTGTGACCTTGACCTTTGACCTGGTGACCTCAAAATCAATAGGGGTCATCTACTAATCATGACTAACCTCCATTCCAAATATGAAGACTGTGGGTCAAAGGAATCTTAAGTTATTGGGCGGACAAGCTTTTTGGAGTCAAGGCCCCTGTGACCTTGACCTTTGACCTGGTGACCTCAAAATCAATAGGGGTCATCTACTAATCATGACTAACCTCCATGCCAAATATGAAGACTATGGTCAAAGGAATCTTAAGTTATAGGGCGGACAAGCTTTTTGAAGTCAAGGCCCCTGTGACCTTGACCTTTGACCTGGTGACCTCAAAGTCAATAGGGGTCATCTACTGATCATGACTAACCTCCATGCCAAATATGAAGACTGTGGGTCAAAGGAATCTTAAGTTATTGGGCGGACAAGCTTTTTGAAGTCAAGGCCCCTGTGACCTTGACTTTGACCTGGTGACCTCAAAATCAATAGGGGTCATCTACTAATCATGACTAACCTCCATGCCAAATATGACGACTGTAGGTCAAAGGAATCTTAAGTTATTGGGCGGACAAGCTTTTTGAAGTCAAGGCCCCTGTGACCTTGACCTTTGACCTGGTGACCTCAAAATCAATAGGGGTCATCTACTAATCATGACTAACCTCCATGCCAAATATGAAGACTAAGGGTCAAAGGAATCTTAAGTTATTGGGCGGACAAGAAAAAACCGACTGACAGCCGGACGGACGGCTGGACGGACAAGCTGATTCCAGTATACCCCCCTTACAACTTTGTTGTGCGGGGGTATAACTATGGTAGTTATAAAAGACAGAACGAAATTTTCACAATGTTTAAATTTAACAATGTTCAAAAATGCTTACCTTCAAGTCCTGTTCATATGATTTAAGAAAACAAAAAGTATAAAAGTTTTTAAAACATGTACCAGATAGTGATGAAAAAACTAAATTAACTAACATTAAACTTGCGAAAAAGAAAAACTTGCAAAGAAAAACTCATACTTTTTCACCGTTCAGTTGATAGCTAGCATACTGGTCCACCATACATTTAGTCCGCTCTTCAAATCTTTCGACAGAGGCGTTGTTCCACCATGGACGGAGATTACCAAACTTATCATATTCACGACCTGTCAAACACATAAAATATGGATGATTGATTCAAGATTATCTCCCCTGAAATAACAAAGCAAGCTCATAATATTTCAAGTTATAAAACACTGAAATTATAAGTTTTTGCACCTCAGCATGTAACTATACATGTATACATGTATTAATAATTGTTTCATTGTTTTTAATTTACTACTCATTGTTAAAAAACAATTTAGGGACTTCAATTGAGGTCCAAAAGTCTAATATCCTAAACTTTAAAATTCACGAATTCGAAAACCTAGCTAAACCCCGTTTTCCGGTACTTTCTGTAAATAGCTCTGGGGAATTCACCTAATGGAGTGTAATAGCGAACTCGATGTTTTCAGCCTTTTTTTAAATCAAATTGAAATAAAACAGTTATTTCTTTATAAGAAAATAATTAAATATCATTGTCTGAATAATTCCATACAAAAAATAAAGTAAAAATACACAAGTTTACGCAGAAAATAACTTTATTTATTTATTTAATAATTTTCAAAAACATCAATTTTTTCCACCTTAAAGGGTAAAATAATGATAGAAAAATAGAAATATCACGTAACTGTGTTATGTACTTCATTTGGTGTAATTCCCCAGAGCTAAATCCGTAACATACCAGAAAACGGTGTTTAGCTAGGTTTTCGAAAAGGTCAATACTTATATAAAGATCAACTGTTGCACTTAAAATTACGTTGTATAAAATATTTAGAAGAAAGTTTAAATTAACAAGATTGATTTTTTTTCTTTGCAATTCTTTTTTTGCAACTCTTAAATCACTTTGCAATTCTTATCCCAATTTCATTTAAAAATGTTAAAAAGCTTTTCAGTTTGCACAATAAAAGTCATTATTCTGGAGAAATTGGAGTCGGCAATTATTATGATTAGACATTTTGCATACAAGTTACTGGCTGAACCTCATGGCCCTATGACAGAAGATTAAGCATAAAACATTCTTAACTTGCACATCAATTTTAGTCAATTGATAGTGGTACTGTTTTCAACATTAAATCTATTGCATTATTGTTGTGTTGTACTATGTATGCTAATGCTGAATTCAAAATAAGAAAGGAAAAGATATAAAAATGAAATCTACAGAACACAGCTATAAAACACTTAACCACAATTGTTGCTAAAGCATGTATAGTCAAACCTACATTGTATCTATAATTCCTATAGGTACATTAAAGATAAATCATGCCAAATTTAATCTTGTCCTAAAACAACAAGAATTTGTACTAGAGTTACTAACGTCCCCCGCCTCGGGGAAGTTTTATATGAAGCAAAAAAATTGTGCTATTTCAAAAGATTGAGGTATGGATTTCAGGACTTTCAGTCCAAAATTATGATCAATGCTAGATCTGCAAATGCAACAATAAATTTATTTAAGAAATTAATTAGAATTTAAAATTCTATCATGTTAACCTTTGACCTCTTAGTGTGACCTTGGAGGTAGGGGTGCAGGTGTTGTGCATGACATATCGTCTTATTAATATTAAAATTTGCGCCAATTATTTTCAAAAACCCTTGAACTATGTTGAAGTTATAGATTGGACACAAAATATACCCTATAACAGACTATGTCAATCTTTGACCTCTAAGTGTGACCTTGGAGGTAGGGACCCATGTTTTGCGCCTGACATATCATCTTATTATTGTGATTATTTGTGCAAAGTATTTTTAAAATCCCAGATTATGGACTGGACACAAAATATACCCTATAACAGACTATGTAAATCTTAGACCTCTGCGTGTGACCTTGACCTTGAAGGTAGGGACACATGTGTTACGCATGACATATCATCTTATCATTGTGACTATTGTGCCAAGTATTTTCAAAATCCCTTGATTTATGAAGTTATAGATGGGACACAAAATAAACCATATAGCAGACTCTGTTAACCTTTGACCTCTAAGTGTGACCTTGACCTTGGAGGTACAGGTGCAGGATTTGTACCTGACATATTGTTATTATTGTGACAATTTGTGCCTAGTTATTTCAAAATCCTGAAGAAGTTCTAGATCAGACACAAAATATACCCTAAAATGGACTATGTTAACTTTTGACCTCTAAGTGTGACCTTGAACTAGAAGGTAGGGATGCAGGTGTTGTGCATGACACATTGTATTATTATAGCGACTATTTGTGGCAAGTATTTACAAAATACTTTGATCTATGAAAAAGTTATGGACTGGACACAAAATGTACCCTGTAAAAGACTATGTAAATCTTAGACCTCTGCGTGTGACCTTGACCTTGAAGGTAGGTGACCGGTTATTGCGCATGAAACATTGTCTCATTATTGTGAACAATTGTGGCAAGTATTTACAAAATCCCTTCAAAGATAAGAAAGTTATGGACCCGACACGTCATATACCATCAAATAGACAATGTTGACCTTGAATGAGCAAGTGCGACCTTGACCCTTGAGATAGGGGTCTGGTTATTGCGCATGACACATCGTCTTATTATAACAAATATTTGTGCCAAGTTATTTCAGATTCCTTTGATAAATGACAAAGTTATGGACCGGACACGAAAGTGTGACGGACGGACGGACATTCTTACCAGAGCTACATTATGGGGTTTTCTTTTGTTATTTCTTTTGTTCTTTTTAACCCCACAATGCAGAAAATAACCCCACAAGAGAAACGGAATGAATGACATCAAAGACATCTATTGTTATGAGAACAATAGACCAAACCCCATAATGTAGCTCTGGTTTGTACGGACGGACGGATGGACGGACAGACGGACGGAGCCTATTACTATATCCACCTTTTATTTTGGAAAAGGCGGGGGACAACAAGAGCTGTCCATAAGACATAAGACGACGAGCTCGAATATTCTCAGTGCCTGACAGTGGGAAATTGGTAAGGGGGTATAACTCTGTAAACAGAGAACTCATAGTTATGAGACCTTTGTCAATCATGCTAGATAACAAGTGTGTGAGTCTGGTTTCAACCCATTCCCTTCAGTAGTTGTGGAGATACCAACATGCAAGCAAAAATTTAAAGAAAGTTTGATGCCTGGGGGAGTACATTATAGCTTTCCGTATTCTTCTAAAAGTCAAGCTAAAAATAAATCAACAACAGTCATATAACTAAAACAAAAGATATTTCCAATCTGACATAAAAGCAATTCCAATTATGCCCAACTGACCAATGACACAGGGGATATATCATTATAACAGACACTTTATGTTATGACTGGTAACAAGAATTATTCTACAGAGCATAACAATGTACAGTCACATGACCATCACATAAAAAATAAATTAGTCAAATATCTCATGCAGATCACATGCCAGTCACATGACTATCACATACAAGAAATATAAATACTAGTCAAATATAGAATGCAGGTCACTTACTCATAAAGACTGGTCACATGCCAGTCACATGACTATCACATGCAAGTAACAAATCATTTTACAAAACATCAAAATTTTACAAAAACCAAAATATCACATGGCTATAAAACACAAGCAGGTAATTTGTCTATACAGTACTCAACACATTAAAAACAATTACTGCAAACAGACTAATTTCATGCAAGGGATCTCATGGCAGCTAAAACAACTAGAAATGTGTCTTTAGCACACAGATGCCCCAACATTCCACTGTTTTGTCAGTCTATGGAGGAACAACAGGACAGCATGTTAGCAAAAAGGAGGGATAAGGAGAAAAACTATATGAGCCGTGTCATGACAAAACCAACATAGTGTGTTTGCGACCAGCATGGATCTGCGCAGTGTGATCAGGATCCATGCTGGTTGCTTTCAGTTTCTCTACTTGTAATAGGGTTTGTAGACGAACAGCATGAATCCTGATCAGACTGCGCGGATGCGCAGGCTGGTCTGGATCCATGCTGGTCGCAAACGCACTATGTTGGTTTTGTCATGACGCAGCTCATATGCTTCCCTTTCAAGTAGAGGGCATTAAAATCCTAATAGAAATTACAAATATATAGAAATCACATGCCCTTTAGGTACATGCCACATGACAAGACTGACAATCACAACAATAAAACAACAGCAAGAGGTCACATGATCATCACATGCCAGTCACATGACCCATACATGCCAGTCACATGACACTCACATGCTGGTCACATGACCTATATACCTTGATCATCAAAGCCATGTGTTAATTCATGACCCATTACCACTCCCATAGCACCAAAGTTTAGAGATCTAGTCATTTAAATAGTATATATATTAGTAGAAATCACATACAAGAGAAAAGACAATCATATGAAGCAGAGAAATAGATTGTATAGACTGAAAACATTCCAGAACAACCTCCAGTAGGTATTTCATGGAAACAATTCTTGTTTAATAAAGTGGAAATCATGTCAATATAAAGGGGTGGTGCAAAACCCAGCGGTTACAATTATACTTGAACTGTGCCAAGGAACAAAATAAAATAAACTTATTGAACATGTTTGTGTAATTCACGATAAAAAAAGGAAATAGCTATATGTGATTTTTAAACACTGACAATAGCAACAATTTTCCTGGTTGGCCAATTAAGTAATTAGTAAAGTTGGATAATGAATTCCATCTTTGTAGAAAAAAATTCTTTCTTAAATTTGTAGTCATAAAATATTTCAAGGGACTTGTATATGACCGACCCTCTGTAAACAATACAAGTTTAAAAATTATATATTATATTCAAGATATATTCCATTTTTTTTTCCACCCATTAACAATTTTTAGTGTATGTTTATGTCAAAATATATCTGGGGATGTAACCAAACACCAAACTTGTTACATAAAATTATTGCATTGTGATCCTTCATAAATATTTTATGTACTTATGTTGACATTTAAGAAAAATTAGGACCTGAAGTTACTAGATAAAACATAATTTATTCTTTCAGAACTTGGTTTGGTGGGGATAGAGTCTATTTCATTACTGGATTAAATAATGGCTTTGTTTTTAATTAAGAAACAATATCCATCTCAGCAATGTTGATCCGATATTTAACACTAATTTGGAGTTTTGATGCATAATAATTGACCATGAAGGCCGTCTGATCATGGTTTGCACTGTTAGCTATTGTCACATATTTTAAAAATTTCCCTTAATAGAATGAATGGGTTTGTCCAGATTGAAAGATGGGGACAAGTTCATGTTAGACATTTAGCGTGATAAAGTGTTCTATTCTGTCACTGAAATAAATCACATCAATTATGCCCGGAAATATATATATATATATTTTTTAATGAAAGTAGTGTATATATAGATACCGGTAGTTCCTGACTTTTACTATTTTAATATTTACCTCCCTTGCCAAAAAGTGGCAGCCATTTTGGAGGGGGTCAATATTCCATATAATGTTATTGACATAAACAGCTGATTTTGGTGAATGGTCAAATTCTTTTAAAAACATAAGAAGAAAAATTTAATTATAGTACCAATATTTAAAAGATTTTTTATCAGTTTTCATGAAGAGGATCAAAATTATGAGAATGGTAGCCTGGGGAGGTAATAATTGCTATGTGAAAAGCATGTATTCTTTAAAATGTCTAGTAATGTTACAGAAAAATTACTCCACTTACTTAGGCCAGTCTTGACTGTAAAATGGTGCCTGTAAGATTCCAGCAGGAAAAACAATTTCATTTTTGGTGGGCGTGTAATATGCATTAACTGTAGGCGGAGTCATGTCCCAGCTGAAAATACAAATAGATATAAAAGATAACGATAAAAGTAAAACACAAGCAAATTCTATATCTATTTTCTTTATTTCATATTCTGTTGTTTATTTGCCATGTTTCAAACTGATTTTTGTTTGGTTGCTTTTTTTTAACACCAATTTGAAAACATTATCTATCTATCTCTGAGTACTGCCAACCCCTCTCGCGAGTGTTATAGGCAGGAAATTGTGCGCGTCGGGTGTGTTAGTAAAAGGTGTGAGAGAAAGTAAAAACCTGAAAATGAACATGATCAGGACGGTGAGAGACATTGAAAACTTCTAGTCATTGTTAAAATATTTTTATTAGTAAGGGTGAAAGAAAGATTTAAAGTAAAAACACAACAAGTCAACTAATACTGTATCTTAACCACTGCCTGTTTGTATTGATCTAGATCATGCTTGTAAATAGGGCAAACATAGGCTTTGGTCCAGTCAGAGGGAATTGTACCAGAAGATAAAGATTTTTGGAATAGAATTGTGATGATATCTGTGATTTCATTCCTCAGTTCTTTGAGGACAACCGGCCGAACAAGGTCTGGGCCTGCAGCTTTATCTATCTTTAGGTTGGCAAAACCATACATCAATATTGTTTCTTTTGATGACAGCTCTTCTCAAATGGTGCTCAACTGTTACAATAAAACCAGAAAACCTGTGAATATACAGTATCCATTCTTAAAATGCTCTCCCTTTAACTTCAGCAAGGGCTGGGAGAGAAAAATCAAACTAATCTTTAACGAATATTCAGAAACTTAAAACTTACACATAGGGCTCTGGAGGCTTTCTAAGCATAGCAGCATTCTTTTGAAGTTCAAAATACAAATTTCTAATGTTGTTCTGGAAATATTCTGATGCATTGATCTTCAACTGCAGGGAAAAGTTCATCATAAAAACAGTTCATTATATAAAAGGTTCATTATAAAAAAAGCTCTTTCCCTCGACTGTGATGCTTAAATGATGAATAATGAAAAATCAGAATTAACATTTTGATAATTATAAAAAAAAACATCTTGTAAAGTATTGACAAAATAAAAATAAATTTTAATGATATATGAAGTCTTTAGTAATGAAAAAACCATATTCACTGCCTAAATTGCCTCAGTCTTTACAGAAGTATGGTACATATTAAACAGTGATATGTTTCTTAATCATTTGTCAATTCCCAGCAAATATACAAAGTGGAATTTGCAGAAGATTTCTATTTGTCATTAGATGTATTAATTAGGTCAATGAGAAAAATACATACATTTTTATATTCTTTGTTTAATCTTGTTTTATTCAGGATGTATTCCGGAAATCCAATCATGTCTATTACTGAGTTAGCCTAAAATAAATAAATAATTAATTAATACCTATGCTACTATATATAGTAACAAAATCTAGGGTATTCCAGGGCCATTAAGGCAAGATCTAGGTCATTATGCAATTTTGGCCACCTTGCTCGATGTTAAGTACTGATATTCAATCTAAAGGATACAAATACAATCATTATCTGCTTTAAATGTATAAATTGATAAAAGTGAGCCATGGGTTAGTGGTTAAGGTGTCTGCCCCTAAGCTCAGGGAGCGTGGGTTAGAGCCCTACTCAGGGCATGACCATAAAGACTCCAGGTAATGAACTAAACAAGAGCTGTCAGTAGGACAGCATGATCATCTATTCTCAGTGCTTGATAGTAAAACAAGTGCATAGATAATATAGAATTATTTTCTAAGTTTGAAAAGGTTCATATTTCTGTCAAAATACATGTTAAAGTTATGGGCCTTGGACAGTGAGCTTCTTTTTTGCTCTCAACAATTATTGTGTGAAGTTTTATATAGTTTTGGACATACCGGACATACCAACTTATATACTCAAAAACTTAACCAAAATGTGACGCCAATGCCTTGGTGAGTACAATAGCTCTCTCTCTTTTCTTCAATAAGTCGAGCTAAAAATAGTTAAATTAGCTTCAATGTTTGCTCACAATCAAACTACAATGATTTAATATGTTCAAAATAAACCTTAATTGGTTGTTCATTATAAAATCTTAACACAACAGAATTGCATAACGATCTATTCAGCATTTAAATTGCCACATACCTTATCTACTGCAGCTTTTCTAGTTTCATCATCCATCCATCTTAAACTTGGCAAATTATTCTTGAATGCCGTCTTTACTTCTTCGATCATATCTTCCGCCTGAATTACAGGAGTAAAACAACTGATTAATAATATTTGTCATATGTTACGGTTTGGATCGAAATATCTTTCCCAAGGATATCAGACTGGTGTTTTTGTTAGTTTTTGGTTATGCTGAAAATTTTATCTGGTATGAAGGGTGCCAGTTATGAGTCCAAGTGCTGCAAAATGACGTTTATTTAGTGCATTTTAGAATGCTTTCCTAAGATCATTTGGCTGTCCTGAATGAAGTTGTTATACGAAAATAGTAACAATTGAAATCACCATGAATAATTAATTTATTGAGGTAAACCATTTAAAGTATGGTAGAATATGCAAGAAAAAAGATCTGACATTCGTAAGTGGTTCAGATGGGATTATATATCTCTAGGGTCTGCAAGACTGGTAACTGCCAAATGGGTGGGTACCCTCCAAACAGTTATTCCAACCTGAACTGCAGCACACAATAGATATTACCATTTCCTTCTTTCTTTCTATCTCTTACATTCTTTCTTTCTTCCTTTTTTTTCTTTATCAATATTGTTTCAAATAAGAAAATAAACCTATCAAATTATGCATGATCATAAATCGGTAAATTATTCTTTATACAACAATATCCTATTATTATTACAGTATAAATATAAAGTTACAACCCACTGCTGATTTAAATCAATAATATCTTTTTTGAACACGTTAAAGACCAGCCAAGTTTGAGCAAAAAGTGTAGCAGCAATAGCCCTATTAAAACGGCTTTCAAGAAAAGTACAATATTCATTTTCAAAAACAATCACTTTCCACAAGACTGACGGCTGAAGTGGAAACAGTTCTGCTATTACTCGCAGTACATCATACCTTTTGCTTACTGTTGCCTTTAAATACCTCTTGTACGAACAAGGAACCGAGGGCAAATCCGAGCACTTGATCTGTGTCTGTAATACAATGTCTCCATAACTCCTCCCCACCTGTAGTACCTGTTAACATGCAATGTTGTTCTGTAACTGCTCTTATTATCACAAATAGAAGTGTCATGAAAATAGCAATGAAAATGAAACTGTACGCTCCTTATCCTTTCTTTGTGAACATGGGCTGAATACTCATACTTTTATTAGATGAAAGTGGGCATCTGAATATAAACCCCCTAACTGTTCAGGGCTGCATTTCATCGAAAGTCTTAAGTGTACCCTAAGTCCTAGGACATTAAACCAACTTTAGGACTAACTTAAGGCCATTTCAATAAACATTTTACCTGAATCAGCCAAAGACTGTAGACTATAATTAAATTGGTAATTCTGAGAATAAGGTAAGAAATACAATAACAGACCCATTTTTTCGCAATGTGCTATTACTCATCTGTATTGCTTTTTAAAAGTTAACAAGGGTGCCATAGTCACAAAATACGCCCGTTTACGAAAAAGCTTTAGATGGAGATGGGGGCATTATGGATAAGTGTTATCTAGCAAGCAAGTTTTTATTCTTGGCACTGTGTTGTTAAATGAACCTTAAAACAAATCAATAGGGAAGATATGCACAGAATGTGTGACCTTGACCTTGGTCGCAGGGACCTGAATTTTATGCACGGCACTCAGCCTCACAATGATGAACATTTGTGCCAAATTATATTGAAATCCCTCTATGCATGTAGAAGTTTTGCTCCAGACAAGTGTTTTTCTATGAGCTCTAACTGTGACCTTCACCTTTGACCTAGAGACTTGGTTTATGTGCAGGGCACTACGTCTCATGGTAGTGAACAATTCTATAAAAGTAACATTAAAATTCCTCCATGCATGTAGAAAATATGCTCCGGACAACATCTGGATATTTAATCATCTCCAGTGACCTTGACCTTGCAAATATAAACCTAAATTAAATGTGTAACACCTGTAGTCATGATAGTTACCATTTGTGCTACAATCCATCAATAAATGATGACTAAATGGTCCCTATAACCATCTTCAAATTTTTATCTGAACTTTGACCTCTATGTGTAACCTTGACTTGGTCGCAGGGATCTGAATTTTGCATGCGACACTCAACCTCACAATGGTGAACATTTGTGCCAAGTTATATTGAAAACCCCCTATGAATGTAGAAGTTTTGCTCCGGACAAGCGTTTTTCAATGAGCTCTAAGTGTGACCTTGACCTTTGACCTGGAGACCTGGATCATGCATGGAGCAATACATATCATGGTGGTGAACATTTCCATAAAGTATTATAAAAATTCTTCCATACATGTAGGAGATATGCTCCAGACAAAATCTGGATATTTCACCATCTTTAGTGACCTTGACCTTGCATATATTGACCTAAAGTACATGTGTCACATCCGTAGTCATTATAATGACCATTTGTGTTACAATCCCTCAATAAATGATGATTAAATTGTCCCTAAACACATCTTCATATTTTTATCTTTTTTTAAACGGGCGTATAAAAAGTACATGTAATTTAATAACTAAAAAATTCTGATTTAAGATTTTATTCTAGGGAAATACATTTCATTACAATTCTTAATCTTTGAATGAGCTGAACTGATATTTACTTGAAAATTAAAATATAATTAAATTTCTATGAGAAAGTATTTACATTTGATAAGGTAATTACTGTATGATCTTTATGAACAAATACCAAGTCTACAGAACACCATAGTTATCACAGTTAAAAATCTTGACCAATGAATGAAACATGTGTAAATAAATGTTACATTCTTTAGAACATACTCAAGTCCAAGAAAGAGGATTATTTCATGCCCTTTGATTAAATTCTATTTTTAGAATTGAAAGTAAAAACTCCTCCCCACCTGTAGTACCTGTTAACATGCAATGTTGTTCTGTAACTGCTCTTATTATCACAAATAGAAGTGTCATGAAAATAGCAATGAAAATGAAACTGTACGCTCCTTATCCTTTCTTTGTGAACATGGGCTGAATACTCATACTTTTATTAGATGAAAGTGGGCATCTGAATATAAACCCCCTAACTGTTCAGGGCTGCATTTCATCGAAAGTCTTAAGTGTACCCTAAGTCCTAGGACATTAAACCAACTTTAGGACTAACTTAAGGCCATTTCAATAAACATTTTACCTGAATCAGCCAAAGACTGTAGACTATAATTAAATTGGTAATTCTGAGAATAAGGTAAGAAATACAATAACAGACCCATTTTTTCGCAATGTGCTATTACTCATCTGTATTGCTTTTTAAAAGTTAACAAGGGTGCCATAGTCACAAAATACGCCCGTTTACGAAAAAGCTTTAGATGGAGATGGGGGCATTATGGATAAGTGTTATCTAGCAAGCAAGTTTTTATTCTTGGGCACTGTGTTGTTAAATGAACCTTAAAACAAATCAATAGGGAAGATATGCACAGAATGTGTGACCTTGACCTTGGTCGCAGGGACCTGAATTTTATGCACGGCACTCAGCCTCACAATGATGAACATTTGTGCCAAATTATATTGAAATCCCTCTATGCATGTAGAAGTTTTGCTCCAGACAAGTGTTTTTCTATGAGCTCTAACTGTGACCTTCACCTTTGACCTAGAGACTTGGTTTATGTGCAGGCACTACGTCTCATGGTGGTGAACAATTCTATAAAAGTAACATTAAAATTCCTCCATGCATGTAGAAAATATGCTCCGGACAACATCTGGATATTTAATCATCTCCAGTGACCTTGACCTTGCAAATATTAACCTAAATTAAATGTGTAAACACTGTAGTCATGATAGTTACCATTTGTGCTACAATCCATCAATAAATGATGACTAAATGGTCCCTATAACCATCTTCAAATTTTTATCTGAACTTTGACCTCTATGTGTAACTTGACTTTGGTCGCAGGGATCTGAATTTTGCATGCGACACTCAACCTCACAATGGTGAACATTTGTGCCAAGTTATATTGAAAACCCCCTATGAATGTAGAAGTTTTGCTCCGGACAAGCGTTTTTCAATGAGCTCTAAGTGTGACCTTGACCTTTGACCTGGATCATGCATGGAGCAATACATATCATGGTGGTGAACATTTCCATAAAGTATTATAAAAATTCTTCCATACATGTAGGAGATATGCTCCAGACAAAATCTGGATATTTCACCATCTTTAGTGACCTTGACCTTGCATATATTGACCTAAAGTACATGTGTCACATCCGTAGTCATTATAATGACCATTTGTGTTACAATCCCTCAATAAATGATGATTAAATCGTCCCTATACACATCTTCATATTTTTATCTTTTTTTAAACGGGCGTATAAAAAGTACATGTAATTTAATAACTAAAAAATTCTGATTTAAGATTTTATTCTAGGGAAATACATTTCATTACAATTCTAAATCTTTGAATGAGCTGAACTGATATTTACTTGAAAATTAAAATATAATTAAATTTCTATGAGAAAGTATTTACATTTGATAAGGTAATTACTGTATGATCTTTATGAACAAATACCAAGTCTACAGAACACCATAGTTATCACAGTTAAAAATCTTGACCAATGAATGAAACATGTGTAAATAAATGTTACATTCTTTAGAACATACTCGAGTCCAAGAAAGAGGATAATTTCATGCCCTTTGATTAAATTCTATTTTTAGAATTGAAAGTAAAAATAGATCAAGGGGAGTAATTGTGTAAGTCATTTATGAACAAAGTAATAACTTTGTTGTCTCCCTTTGATTAAATTCTATTTACAAAATCTGGATATTTCATCATCTTTAGTGACCTTGACCTTGTATATATTGACCTAAATTATATATATCACAGCCATAGTCTTGATAATGACCATTTGTGTTACAATCCCTCAATAAAAGATGACTAAATGGTCCATATACACATCTTCATATTTTTATCTGAACTTTGACCTCTATGTGTGACCTTGACCTTGGCCGCAAGGACCTGAATCTTGCACGCGACACTCCGCCTCACAATGGTGAACATTTGTGCCAAGTAATATTGAAATCCCTCTATACATGTGGAAGTTTTGCTCCGGACAAGCATTTTTCAATGAGCTCTAAGTGTGACCTTGACCTTTGACCTAGAGACCTGGTTCATGTGCGCGACACTGCTCCTCATAGTGGTGAACATTTATATGAAGTTTCATTAAAATCCCACCATACATGAAGGAGATATGCTCAGGACAAAATTGGACGCCGCCCGCCCGCCAGGGGCGTTCCCATAATACGTCCCGTTTTTCAAACGGGCGTATAAAAAGTCATGAAATAGGAGTCATAACTTAAGACATTTTCTTTGAAATGCAAAATTGTCCCAGTTTTGGTCTTAAGACTCATTTCAGACTAAGACTTTCAATGACACACAGCCCAGTAAGCTAACTGGAGAGAATTCTATGCCACTGGCATGATTCAAATCAACAACATCAAGTTATGTGAACTGTACCAAATAAAACAATTGTCCAACAGATGATCTTATATTTAGATAGTAGTCAATAATTACAACTATCCCATACCTGAAATAGCCTCTGTAAGTATATTTCTAGCATCTGTGAAGTCATTGGTTAGGTAAGGGGTCATTGCCTTCACCACATGCCACATCATGTAGTTCTGTAGCGTCCTGAATTATAAAACATTTGAAACATTCTTCTTTAGCTTAATAAAAGCAATACAATGAAAAGCCAAGCATCAGCTTCATCAAATTGAATATGCTCAAAAATTTTAAATGAATAATTTAAAACGAATTAGGTATTTCAAAGACCCCAGATTCATTTTTGATGAAAGTTTTGAAAATTTATTTAACAGTAAAATGTTGTGAAGTGCATAAAGGAAAAATTTACTCATTGCAAACAGCATCTATAATCCACGTAAAATTACAAAAAAAAGGTCAAATATACAAAAAAAGCAATTACTGCATTAGTCACTTTTTTTTTTATAAAGTTTGATTTTCTTGAAATATTTTGGCTCATCGGCAGGCCTGCAGCTTTAAATTGAGAAAAAGTTAACAAAACAAGAACACAATCTACAATTGCAAGTATATTAAAATCTCTTAATAGCAATATCAAATTGAGTAATCAAGGTTTCTTAAATGTTCATGTGGAAAGTTTCGAATAAATTTGTAAATCTATATTTCAATTTTATTGCAAAAAAAGTAAAATCCTTCAATTTTCTAAAAACATTTTATCTGACCTTGCCCCATTTTCCTCTTGGAGCGTCTGCTGCAGAAGTTCGGTGAGATTCTGTAGGTAACGAGGCATATAAACGACAACCTCCTCTGCCGGGCTCACTGTCACATTTGCTATGGACAATATACTGTTTAAAAGTTGAATCCAATTCACCTGAAAATAGATCAAAATTTCTGCACTGTCTTGTTACATAGATTCTTGATTATTATCTAGCTAGAACCGGAAGTTAAGTTTACTAACCTTTGTCACCTATAATAGAGCTACTAGGCCTGCCTGGACAATCATGACCTGAGGCTCTTTAACTGTTGTCTGACTAATTTTAATATTTTCATCTTGATACCCACAAAGTTAAATATAGAGTGGTTCCAAATCTGGTTGCTTGACAAGTCCATTTTTATTTTGTTTTTGGTTGGGTTTTACATCACACCGACACATTATATGTCATATGGCAACTTTCCAGCTTTACTCATGGATGAAGATCTCAGGTGCTCCTTCATGCATTATTTAAGGCATGAATGAAAAGTCAATTTTAAGAAATTCAATAGGTAAAAGGCTAAATAAGTGACAGTGAGTTTTTGACTATTCTCAGTGTTTAATGCATTAAAACAAGATTCATGTCAGAAATCTCACAAAGGGAAACAATTTCATTAAAGGCACTCCACTGAAGTTTTTTGACATGACAGGTCTAAAAATATTTTTTGTTTGTTTTTGTTTTGTACCATTTGATGTAGGCCTATACCAGTAACTTGTGTGCAAAATTTCAGTTTATGTTCTAGCTCACTGCGTTTCTCCAGAATAATCTTTTTTCTTGTGCAAAACTAAATCCAGGGTTCAAAGTTTTCAACTCAAATTGGGAAAAATTGTTTTAATTCAAAATTAATTTCAAGTATGATTATTTCATTCATTATCCATTTTCATAGAATTCATGTATAAAGTCCCAGTTGATCTATGTAAAACTTTCAAGATTTTTTTTTTTAAGCTTTTGGACCTCAGTGGAGCTCCTTTAAAATTTGAAGGTCTACATTTTCCTAATAATGTATCCTCTTGGAATATCAACTAACAATGAACAATGTGATATCAGCAATAAACAAGCTATCATTATTATACAAAAATTGACATCATTTCTATCAAATTGCATAGCAAACATCTGTAATAAAAGGTCAAGATTCCACAAGCCAAATGCATGGCAATTATATACACATTTGTAATTCTATACAAATATCTCATTTCTATGCCTGCCATCTCCAGGGCAATCATTTTCATGGCAATTTCATAGATTACATTTGCATAATTCTTCTTTACAAAATCAATTGTTTATACAGAGATATAAATTTGTTGTATTAAATGTTCATAATATAAGGATCATAATGAAAATCTGACTCTTATTTAGACTTTTAAATTTCTTTCGGTGTCTTTATATTTCATATAACAATGAAGTTATTTTTAAAGTTTTGGTTGGGTTTTGCATCACACCAACACAGTAGAGGTCATAATGGCAACATCCCAGCTTTACAGGTGGAAACAGACCTCAATTACCCCTCTGTGTATTATTGTAGGCACAAAAGGGCACCCGAGTAGAAACACTGAAATTTCATAAGCTAGCTGTAGCTTCATCACATGCAAGAATCAAAAACCCATTGCCAGATTTAAAACCACAGCAAAGAGTGGCGGCCAGTGAAGTGGTTTGAGGACAACAAATTTTGAAAGATTATTATTAACAAGCAATTATCATAGTATTGCAAGCAATCCATAAGTCCCCTACCGGTAAGAGCCCAAGCAACATTCTGAAGGGCCATTGGCCATTCACTTATGTTCCTATTTAAATAAATTTGTTGAAAAAGTTCTTTAAAAGTGATCACAGGAAACATTTTTTTGTACAGACAGACAGACGGACTGAAGGACACTCCAAAGTTATTTTTTAAACAATAATATTATTCCCTGTTATCAAAATATAACATTTTTAAAATCCTATCATGATTGAAGAAGTTGGAGTAAAAATTACCAATTTCTCAAAAAAAAGTCTAAGTTCAAAAGGGGCATACTTCTGGCAGTATTGAACACTCACAAATGTTGAGTGATAATAAGAAACATTTATATGAAGTTTGAAGTAGATACATTCAGAAAAAGAAGTTATTAAAAAAAAACAATGTTTTTTTCATAAAAATTTTATGTTCAAGGGAGGTAATTCTGATAAATTTTGTGCTAGAGTTGTAAACCTTGTCACATATGATGTGGTTGATGACAAGCAACTTATATTTAAAGTTTGAAGAAAATACCTTAAGAAATAAAGTATTTATAGTGAAAAAACTTAAAAACTAGAATCAGAAATCTTGAAATTCAGTCTATTTGTTGCCATAGCAACCAGAATTTTCAACATAGGAAGATAAGAAAAGGATGTGCATAATTTCCATACTGCCATCTACCCATATGTCAAGTTTCATAAAAATATTTTCAGTACTTTTTGCATTATCACTGGATCCAGGTTATGTGTAAAATTTGCCATATTTTCAGTCTATTTGTTGCCATAGCAACCAGAATTTTCAACATAGGAAGAAAAGAAAAAGACGTGCATAATCTCCATACTGCCATCTATCCATATATCAAGTTTCATAAAAATATTTTCAGTACTTTTTGCGTTATCACGGGATCCAGGTTATGTGTAAAATTTGCCATATTTTCAGTCTATTTGTTGCCATAGCAACCAGAATTTTCAACATAGGAAGAAAAGAAAAAGACGTGCATAATCTCCATACTGCCATCTATCCATATATCAAGTTTCACTAAAATATTTTCAGTACTTTTTGCGTAATCGCGGGATCCAGTTTTGTGGACGGACGGACTGACGGACGGACAGACGGACGTTCTCACAGGACAGTAATTATGTGGCTACTCTATTGTTCTCTCTATTGTTCTTTTAGCCACGCAAAAGAAAAATAGCCACATAAAAGCATTACGGAATGAATGACATCAAAGAGAACCTATTGTCCCTCTAGCCACATAATTACTCTCCTGTAAGTGCGGACGGACGGACTGACGGACGGACAGACAGACGGACGGAGGGTAAACCTAAAGTCCCCTCCGGTAAACCGGTAGGGGACTAAAAAGAGATAAGCGATATAATGTTGAAAAAGTAAAGGGAGATAAGCAATACAGAAGTTAAGAATATACAAGAGAGATAAGCAATTAGTCATGGGAGATAAGCTATACAAAAGTTGAAAATGGTCAAGGGAGATAAGCAATATAAAAGTTGAAAATTGTAAAGGGAGATAAGCAATACAGAAGTTGAAAATGATCAAGGGAGATAAGCAATATAAAAGTTGAAATCTGTAAAGGAAGATATGCATATGGTCAAGGGAGATAAGCAATTGGTCAATGGAGATTATAATCAATAAAGAGCTATAAAGTTACTAACAAATGGGGCTAGTTTTTGTACATCACCTGAAGTAAAGTTACTTACAAATGGGGCTAGTTTTTGTACATCACCAAGTAAAGTTACTTACAAATGGGGCTAGTTTTTGTACATCACCAAGTAAAGTTACTTACAAATGGGGCTAGTTTTTGTACATCACCAAGTAAAGTTACTTACAAATGGGGCTAGTTTTTGTACATCACCAAGTAAAGTTACTTACAAATGGGGCTAGTTTTTGTACATCACCAAGTAAAGTTACTTACAAATGGGGCTAGTTTTTGTACATCACCAAGTAAAGTTACTTACAAATGGGGCTAGTTTTTGTACATCACCAAGTAAAGTTACTTACAAATGGGGCTAGTTTTGTACATCACCAAGTAAAGTTACTTACAAATGGGGCTAGTTTTTGTACATCACCAAGTAAAGTTACTTACAAATGGGGCTAGTTTTTGTACATCACCAAGTAAAGTTACTTACAAATGGGGCTAGTTTTTGAACATCACCAAGTAAAGTTACTTACAAATGGGGCTAGTTTTTGTACATCACCAAGTAAAGTTACTTACAAATGGGGCTAGTTTTTGTACATCACCAAGTAAAGTTACTTACAAATGGGGCTAGTTTTTGTACATCACCAAGTAAAGTTACTTACAAATGGGGCTAGTTTTTGTACATCACCAAGTAAAGTTACTTACAAATGGGGCTAGTTTTTGTACAACACCAAGTAAAGTTACTTACAAATGGGGCTAGTTTTTGTACATCACCAAGTAAAGTTACTTACAAATGGGGGCTAGTTTTTGTACATCACCAAGTAAAGTTACTTACAAATGGGGCTAGTTTTTGTACATCACCAAGTAAAGTTACTTACAAATGGGGCTAGTTTTTGTACATCACCAAGTAAAGTTACTTACAAATGGGCTAGTTTTTGTACATCACCAAGTAAAGTTACTTACAAATGGGGCTAGTTTTTGTACATCACCAAGTAAAGTTACTTACAAATGGGGCTAGTTTTTGTACATCACCAAGTAAAGTTACTTACAAATGGGGCTAGTTTTTGTACATCACCAAGTAAAGTTACTTACAAATGGGGCTAGTTTTTGTACATCACCAAGTAAAGTTACTTACAAATGGGGCTAGTTTTTGAACATCACCAAGTAAAGTTACTTACAAATGGGGCTAGTTTTTGTACATCACCAAGTAAAGTTACTTACAAATGGGGCTAGTTTTTGTACATCACCAAGTGTCATTTTATGATACAACTGCTCTTCATCCCTTCTCTCCTCACTCGGAACTGTGATCTATATAAAACATTGAATGAATCAACAAAGCTTCATAATTATGTACAAAAACTTTAACCAAACATGTTTTAAAATGTCGTAGACACAATGCATGCTTGGCATTAATTATGAACGATATTTTCCAACTTGCCATTATTCATGAATGATATTTTCCCGCAGTTACTTTCATATGTAATACATAATTAAATCACTGTATAAACTAAAAAAATACATTACTTTCAAAAGTAATGTTGGAATGATAAATGAAATTTGTACAGTTAAACCCTGCCTTATGATTTTCATTGTACATTGTATTAAAAATCTTCATAAAACCAGAAACAGGGAATTATTGATACAGTACAAAAATCAGAAATGTTAGGAATTGTCTATACCCAGCAAACACATGACGTTAAAATACCGATGTCTAATAGACGTTACTTTTTGACGTCGTACTAACGTCAGGTTATGGTCGGTGTCCTGACGGTAGGTAAAAAAAATAACAAGAGGGCCATGATGGCCCTGAGGTCGCTCACCTGTATATAGGCCCCCCCCCCCCCCCCCCAACGTTGCAGGGCCAATTTAACCTAAGGGCTTTTATTTGCACAAACTTGGTAGACACCCATAAGAAGATGTTTCATGCTAAACATCTAAGCTCTAGCTCATTGGGCTTTTTAAAAGAAGATTTTTTTTAAGTTTTTACTATATGCATATAGTTAAAAACAATGACACCCCTGGGGCCGGGCCAGTTTTGACCCCAGGGCTTTTATTTGAACAAACTTTGTAGACACTTACTAGAAGATGTTTCATGCTTAATATCTAAACTCTAGCTATTTGGGTTTTTTCAAAGAAGATTTTAAGTTTTTGCTATATACACATATAAGGAAAATCAATGACCCCCGGGGCGGTGCCAATTTTGACCCAGGGCTTTTATTTGAACAAACTTGCTAGACACCTATTAGAAACATGTTTGATGCTAAATATCTTAGCCATAGCTCTTTGAGTTCTTTAAAAGAAGATTTTTTAAGTTTTTACTATATGCATATAGGGAAAATCAATGAACCCCCGGGCGGGGCCAATTTTGACCCCAGGCTTTTATTTGAACAAACTTGGTAGACACTTATTAGAACATGTTTCATGCTAAATATCTTAGCTCTAACTCTTTTGGTTCTTTAAAAGAAGATTTTTTAAGTTTTTACTATATGCATATAGGGAAAATCAATGACCCCCTGGGGCGGGGCCAATTTTGACCCCAGGGCTTTTATTTGAACAAACTTGGTAGACACCTATTAGAACATGTTTAATGCTCAATATCTTAGCCATAGCTCTTTGAGTTCTTTAAAAGAGAATTTTTTAAGTTTTTACTATATGCATATAGGGAAAATCAATGACCCCCTGGGGCGGGGCCAATTTTGACCCCAGGGCTTTTATTTGAACAAACTTGGTAGACACCCATTAGAACATGTTTCATGCTAAATATCTTAGCTCTAGCTCTTTGGGTTCTTTAAAAGAAGATTTTTAAGTTTTACTATATGCATATAGGGAAAATCAATGACCCCCTGGGCGGGGCCAATTTTGACCCCAGGGCTTTTATTTGAACAAACTTGGTAGACACCTATTAGAACATGTTTCATGCTAAATATCTTAGCTCTAGCTCTTTGGGTTCTTTAAAAGAAGATTTTTTAAGTTTTTACTATATGCATATAGGGAAAATCAATGACCCCCCCGGGGCGGGGCCAATTTTGACCCCAGGGCTTTTATTTGAACAAACTTGGTAGACACTCACTAGAAGATGTTTCATGCCAAATATCTAAGCTCTAGCTCTTATGGTTCTTTAAAAGAAGATATTTTAAGTTTTTTCTTTTGGTTGCCATGGCAACCAGAGTTCTGCATGGAATTAAATTCTTTGAACAATTTTTAAAGGTGACCACCAAAGGAACATTCCTGTGAAGTTTGGATGAAATTGGCTTAGTGGTTTATGAGGAGATGTCATTTAAAGTAAAAGTTTACGGACGGACGACGGACGATGGACGGACGACGGACGGACGACGGACGGACGCCGGACGAAAAGCGATCACAAAAGCTCACCCTGTCACTTTGTGACAGGTGAGCTAACAAAAAGTAATCCTTATTCGCTGTTTTAATCATTTAAACTTTTTTTCAAATGTTATTTGGATTACAAATGAAGTGTTCTTATATAAATACAGACCAAGATCGCGGCGCTGCAACCTAATAAAACATAAAGGTGGCGCTGTATATACGCAAGTTACATGTGTTATTGTTATGAAATCTATTTATAGCCACAGATCTGTTTACAAGTTCCAATCATTTAACGTTGTAATATTATCATTTGTGGTACATTATATGTATCAAAATTACGAGATTTTAATAGTGCTTTAACATTTAATCATAGTGACAGAAAAGGGAAAGAAAACATAATTAACCTTTATTAAATTCGAATCTAAAGACACGTGGATGGAAATTCAAATTCGTAGGCGTTACGTTTTGGCTGTCGGTCAGGAATCGGGATGCATTGATAAGTGAATATTATAGATTTTCTTGAACAAAAAGGTCAGTTCAATTTATTTAGATTTATTTCTACTTTGTATTTGATAAATAATTGCATGATTGCAAGCACTCTTAAATTTAATTATCATTATTTGAACAGCTGAAGTAAAATGTCACACAAATTCGCGATAATGTCTAATAATAAACCTTTTTAAAATTGACATGTTTTAACTCTGCTTGTGAAGAGTTTATAATATGCCTTTCAGTACTACCAAAGAGAATGCTTAGTTTTCATATTTTTCTTAAACTGTGATGTTTTTGTCAGTTAAAATCTGAGAATTGAGAATGAATTTGTACGATTTCGAGCATTTCGGACCAAGACGTTTCGGTCCCAAATAACCCAAAACGTTCCGGTCTCAAATAACGCAAGACGTTTTGGTTCCAGACATTTCGGCATTAAATCTTTGATTTAAAACTATGAAATATTTAAGACTTGCGTAACTGTTCTATTTCAAAAGTAGAATATATACATAAGTTAGAATATAATTTTCTTTTCAGGTAGTTAAAGTGTTGGACATGCTCTCAAAGGTCGGAGGGACGGAAACACGTGAATATGTAAAAAGAAACACATGAAAGTAAGATTTTTGTAAATTCTATTACATACTTTATTTAATTAATCCATACTAAACTGGAGTTTAAAAGCGGCTTTTTAAATGTTCAGTATTTATGTTTACTTTTAATTTTTGTTAAAGCTCTCTTATAAAAAATTGGCAAAATTGTTCATTAAGTTAAGATAACCATAAAAACATTTTTGCTTGTTAATTTTACATGTTTCATTATTTTTTTTTTTTCAGTGAAAATGATGTCACACAAACGCTACATATCATCCGGACAGACGAGGGGTGCTGAAAGAAGGTCATATCTTAAAGCATCACACCTCAAAATTCGTGCTAATTCTCATGGATGTCTAAAAGTATAACTTTGTGAAGTAACTAAAAGGCAGCAATTTATACATTACTGACAATTATCAAAGGAGGTCAAAATATGCAAAATGGCACTAAATGTTTTAGAAATGCTGTAGAAATATAGTTAAAGTACTGAAAATCTGTCATAAATTGCTTGAAACATTATTATCAGAATCTTTTAACTTTTCTTAAAATTATAATATTTTCATTGTTTTATTTGATAAGGCAAACTTTGATAGAAATGTGCATACATTGTTTTGTTCTTTAATATTTGTACATGTTTTCTTAGTTTCATTTATGTCATTGTTTTTGTAATACTTTTTGTTTTGTAATTAACTTATTTTATGTTTTATTTTGTTTAATTTATGAAAATTATTTAACCTTGCAGAATTTACTAAAATTGTATGTATCAGCTTAAAATTGCAACTTTTATCTTAAATTAAAAAAGCATGAAACATATTTTTGCCTTTTAGTTTTCTGTTATACATTTCATTTGAGGGAAAGTTACTTAATAGAATGAGTTACATTTAATTAGATCAAATCAGGATTAGCCAGAAAATATTTATGACGTGGTGAAACAAAAAGGATTAGGGGAATGATAAGATGAAGGTCAGAAAATGATCAGATTTAGGGCAGAAAAGGGTTAATATTTAGGTCGGAAAATGGTCAGATTGAGGTCGGAAAATGGTTAGAAACTGGTTAGATTTAGGTCGGAAAATGGTCAGATTGAGGTCGGAAAATGGTCAGATTGAGGTCGGAAAATGGTTAGATAATGGTCAGAAAAAGGTTAAATAATGGTTAGATTCTGACGTCTACCTGACGTCAGATTATTACGTCAAAAAAACTTTCAAATCCAACCGTTTTTCCGACCGTCATCCGACGTCAGAACCTGACATAAATCTGACGTCAGTATGACGTCTTGTGTTTGCTGGGTAAAGTTTTAAATATAAAATATATAAATATGGCAAACATGAACCTGTTCAACAAAATTTAACTTATATCTTCAAAATTTATTGACATAATTTTTTTTCTAGCTAACTTGTTAATTCTATCACAATAATAACTAATAACAGTAACAGACATGAGGTCAAATCAATAACGTAACATCTTTTGGTGCCGAAATAAAACATATCATTAAAAATCATTTTTATATTATTGGCATAAGGCCAACATATGAAATTTATAATTAAATTTTAACTGAATAGAAAATTCCCATTGCTTACGGAATGGAATCCAAATTATACTTTGAAATTTAAATTTGATATTTTTAGGACAAAATCTCATAAAGTCCCTGGATTTTAATATCAATATACACTCATTATTTGACACCATGAATCATAAACTGTTGTTTTGCACGCTTCTATATTTTCTAACATAGAAAATAAAGCAATAATGTTGTTGCTTTATGGACCAAATCCAAATGCGACTTGTTATTAAGAGCATGCATATAATAATTAAATTGGTATGTTTTCTTCATGCGTAACTAACAATAGCTTGTAAATAAAACATTATCATAAGTTAATTAAGCAAAGTCCCTAGTCCCATTGATTTGAACTAAAATATATTGTAGCAATATAACAAAAAATCTGATTTTTTGGGATTTTTTATTTTTTTTATATATTGATATTATAGTGCATGGACTACAAGGTTAAATATATTTTAGGTCAGATCAATGCCACTATAGCACCTTTGAATCATCACTAAAGTGGGGCGAGTCGTTATGTGGCGAGTTGTTACGGGCTGATTCCACATTGTGGCAAATCAATTACCATACACAGTAGCTATTGGTTAATTCTAGGTCATATAGAAACACCATATGAGCCGTGTCATGACAAAACCAACATAATGGGTTTGCGACCAGCATGGATCCAGACCAGCCTGCGCATCCGCGCAGTCTGATCAGGATCCATGCTGTTCGCTATCAGTTTCTTTACTTGTTATAGGGTCTGTAAGCGAACAGCATGGATCCTGATCAGACTGCGCGGATGCAAACCCATTATGTTGGTTTTGTCGTGACACGGCTCATATCATTATTACATTATTCTAAGCTACAATATCTGAAACACTTACGTTAGCCAGTTGTGTTTCAAACTCAATCACATCAAGCATCTGTTCCCTGGTGTTGTTCTCCTCACCACCTAGTAAAACCCCAACCCTTGTCATGTAGTCCAGATAGGCTGACAAAACCTGCAAATAACAATATTATAACAAAGTCACACACAATATAAATATTTCTAGAGCACATTATTTCTTTGTTTGTTATGTTACTTTCGACTTTAAAGGAACTCTACTGAGGTCCAAAGCCTAAAAACATAAAATTTGAATTTTATACAAAGATCACCTGGGGCACCTAAAACAAGAAGATATACAAAAGATAATTAAGAATTATACCCAGACGAAATTGTAAATCATATTTTTGTGCTATTCTTGGCCCAATTTTAGTGAAAAGCGTTGTAAAGCATTTCAAGTTTATCAAATGGAACAATAAGCCCTAAAAATTATTCCAAGTCCCATCATGTCAAAAAACCTCAGTGGAGTCCCTTTAAGGTACCATTACCTTTTTTGTGGTACTTTTAATTGTAAATCAAATTAGAAACTTGTGGTATTCAACTACAATTAGTTCCAGAAGACAATTTAGAAATAATATTCAAGTTCTAACATGGAAAATGCACTAATAAGACAATTTCAGTTCAATTTTATTCCTTTAAAGTGACTTCTTCACTTTTTGGGAAAAGGTGGCATTGACATTCAGCACTTGTGGGGGGGGATGGGGGAGGGAGGGGAATGTTTATGTTGCTATCGGGAAAAAAATCAAAGTCAGCAAGCTTTAAAAAATATCTTTACTTATAAATTCAATTTCAAAATAATGAAAACCAGAAAAATGCTGCTTACGTGTGTACCCATACAATTTACTTAAGTTTAAAAACATTGTATTAAGGGTTTTAATTATTCTGTAAAATTTTCAGGAGCAATAACCCTTGATATGTAAAATTAGAATAAGCATCTCAGCTTGATGAATTTTTAACTTAAATACATGTTATCTGTTAACACATCAAATACTATGACTGTCAGTCCAATTTCACTTTGCAGCCAAAAGAACAATTCATCACCTCGGTCCATTAACAGGTTAAATGCTACATCTGTAGAATTTTAATAGGAGTAAATTAACCCTGTACTGCATTTCAGCGATGAATTATTCTCCTTGTGCAAGTTTAATTAATTTTGTCTAAATTGTGATATTATGGATTCAACTAAATATATTTAAAGGCTCACTATGCCTCTAAAATCAATATTTTTTTGTCCTGTAGAAATGTCAAACATGTGTTTAATAGTGTTTAAATAATGAATTTAGAGCATGTAAGATGTTAAAAAACTGAAGAATTCAGAGCTGAACATGCAGTTATGTGTCATAAAGGTAGCAAAATATAAAACAAGTAGCATTTTGACTTCCATACAAAATTTTTCACTATAATTATACAACTTGCCAACAGAGCTATCTTAAGTTGCAAAAGATAGTCCATGTATTATGGCAAATAAGTATTACTTTGAAAATTGTAACTAAAAGATTTTGAGAAATCAAATTGCTAGCATTTTTGAGGCATAATGAGCCTTTAATACATCTTGTATATCAACTTTCACTGAATCATTCTCAAATTATGAAAATATATTGTCAGAGATTCTTGTTAACTAAAATGTCAGATAATTTACTTTCAAAGACAAGAAAAAACAGTCTGTATGTTTCCTGGAATCAATGTTTCATTTTCAAATTTTCCCTGTTTTTATTGTTATGAGCAATGTTTAATGGATGAAATAAATTCTGCTCTTATGAAAAATCTATAATATTCTATGTTTATAGTAGAGAATATGATGCTTTAAAACATTAAATATCTGAGAAATACGGTATATAAATGCATAATGTTAGTGACTGGTCTTTTGTCACAGCTTTGCTTTTAATTCAGTCTTTAATATCATGAATGAATTTTGCTTCAATTAATGCAAATAAAAGATATGAGAAATTATTTAATATTTACTACACTTTTTAAAATTTTACCCTGCTGATGGCAATGGACTGAATCTACCTATGTGACTGAGTGCAGACCAAGATCAGACAGCATATGGGCAAAGACGCTTGGGGGGGGGGGGTCAGATCCTGTCCCCAACATGATTATATGCAACGCCCTTGTTAACACTCTATCATCTTCTAAATGCAATCAGAATAAACATTTATATATCACATTTTAATATGAAAATCAACATTTAATTAAAACCGAAAGTTCTGTCCAAGCGATACGAGAAGAGTTCCCGGCTCTGCATGGAGCGCTTGTCAAGCCGGTACACAAACGGTGTACATGCTTTCGACAACTCGAGCATTATATTGTCATGTCCAACGTGTTAGCTGTCCGCAAGTGCTCGTTTAAAAGACATTTATTTGTAATAAAACTATTACTAAGATGCACAGTGTGTTGTTTCCCAAGTTTTTTATTCTAGATAATGTAAATATAAATATTTGAATTTGGCAGTCATATTGGGTCTTCCGAAAGTGACAATTTTGATATAAGTTTGTGAGAGAATTAAAGTGTTTAGTCCCAGCTAAAAAAGTGAAAGAAGAGCGCAAACATATGCTAGGCTCAAGTCACATATTGGTTGGACTGTTTACATTTTGGAGTCTACAATCTTTACTTTATTGAGACTTGATGATATAATTATGGTATTTTTTCATATATGTATAAATTGTTTGAAAATCAGTTTTATCATTGTAATAGATGTTCCATTTGTGTTTAAATATTAAAATAGTTTTGATAGAGTGTTTACAGGGGCATATCACGTTTGGAAAAGGATCTGACCCCAAAGCATCGGTGCATATGGGTGCTGTCTGGGAAGGTCTGCACTGGTCACTACTCTCAACAAAGCATTATTTTTCTTCTTTCTTGATTGGGTTGTAATTCACATCAACACAGTATAGGTCATATGGCTATTTTTCAGCTTTACTGGTGGAGTCCTCAGGTGCCCCTCTGTGCATTACTTCAGGCACAAACAGGCACCTGAAAAGAACCACCGATATCCTAGCTCAAGGATATGAAATAATCTGTAGGCGCTTGCATGGCTTGAACATACAGCAGCGAGAGGCAAGTAGTTTGAAGACAATGACCTTAACCACTCGGCCACCGATGCTCGCCCAAAACATAGCATCTGATTACTTTTTAAACTCATACAAGAATCAGACATTGTAAAAGAGGTGTAAATTTGTAGACTTTTGTCTTTCTTTTTGTCCTTTTTAATAATGTAGGCATAATTACTTGTTAATCATATAGAATACATTTCATTACAATTATCAGAATCAAATTCTGTCAACAATTTGCTTGGGACTAATGTCATGATGCTAGTTTCCATAGAATTTTTTTAAATGTTTACTGAAGCACAAAAAGTTGCAGTCCTTTTGTAATAATTAGAATCCAAAGTCAGTTACTTATTGCACAACATTAAAGCAAGCACTTTCATTGAGAATATGAAATCATTACAGTCATATTTTATTGGTTGTGTTGGTAATGCAACATTTTTTGAGAGGAGATACTCAACAAATCTGAAGAGTGGAACCTATCTGAAAATTTAACCGTGTAACATTTCAACAAGCATAATTATTAGCAATAGGACTTGATATAAATATAAAGCAGTTGGCTTTTCAAGGTGTAAAGACATCATAGAAAGTGAAAATGAACTGGTAAAGAATATTTTTTTAAAAGTGATACAGAATGTCATGTTGAAATGGTCATACCGTACACAGGTGTCAGAATTTTTTTTTTTATAAAAAACTCATGTACAATTATCTTGCATAATTATCGTTATAATTTGAACTTCCTGGAACAGAAAGTGCTTTTGCCACAAGCACTTCTGCATAGTCTGATCAGGCTTACTGTACTGTATGTTGATAACTTTAATATTTTTATATTCTGATATTGAAATCTGTTAGCTTAGCTTCAAATGGAACATTCTTTATTCAAAGCTGAGCAAATCCATTTTTTATCTAAAACACAAAATTTGTAAGCTTTTTCTCAACAATCTTTTATATATCAAATTTTCTTCAAAAACAAAATTTAGAAATCTCAAGAAAAACAATATGAACAACTAGAGGATGCTTTTGTAAAAAAGCGCATGTCTCCCCCACTGCTGAGAATAACTGTGAATGGAAACAGGAATGGAAATGGAGATAAGATAATGTAAATACCCGGTAGTCACAGAACTCTAGTTATCATCCGGAAATGAGAAAATGACCAATGGTCACTGTGACCTTAACCTTTGACCTACTGACCCCATAAACAAGAGGGATCATCTGCTCAATAAGACCAATCATCCTATGAAGTTTGAGGGTTGTAGGTCTAAAGGAACTCTAGTTATCATCCGGAAAGGAGAAATTAACCAACGGTCGCTGTGACCTTGACCTTTGACCTACTGACCATTAAAACAATAGGGATCATTTGATTAATAAGACCAATCATCCTATGAAGTTTGAGGGTTGTAGGTCAAAAGGAACTCTAGTTATCATCCGGAAATGAGAAATTGACCAACGGTCACTGTGACCTTGACCTTTGACTTACTGACCCCAAAAACAAAAGGGATCATCTGCTCTATAAGACCAATCATCCTATGAAGTTTGAGGGCTGTAGGTCAAAAGGAACTCTAGTTATCATCCGGAAACGAGAAATTGACCAACGGTCACTGTGACCTTGACCTTTGAACTACTGACCCCAAAAACAATAGGGATCATCTGCTCAATAAGACCAATCATCCTATGAAGTTTGAGGGCTGTAGGTCAAAAGGAACTCTAGTTATCATCCGGAAACGAGAAATTGACCAACGGTCACTGTGACCTTGACCTTTGAACTACTGACCCCAAAAACAATAGGGATCATCTGCTCAATAAGACCATTCATCCTATGAAGTTTGAGAGCTGTAGGTCAAAAGGAACTCTAGTTATCGTCCGGAAACGAGAAATTGACCAACGGTCAGTGTGACCTTGACCTTTGACCTACTGACCCCAAAAACAATAGGGATCATCAGCTCTATAAGACCAATCATCCTATGAAGTTTGAGGGCTGTAGGTCAAAGGAACTCTAGTTATCGTCCGGAAACGAGAAATTGACCAACGGTCAGTGTGACCTTGACCTTTGACTTACTGACCCCAAAAACAA